CTGTAAGCACACAGCTCGCTTGCTGAATCAGTGCTGAACCTCATAAGATGAGTTCCGAACTTTCATGCGATCGGCGGAAAAGAAGCCATGGCCGCCAGCACGGCAGCTGCACCGTTCTTTGTACTAGATTATATACACTGGTCGGGACTAGCCGGCCCGTTGGTAAAGACCCAAGAGTGCTACCTTACATACTTTCCGATTCAAAGGCCCAACAAAGAACCTCGTATCTACATAGAGAACCGCCGAAACCCTGATGCAGGCCATTTGGGATTTCGGGCTCGTTCAAAAACTATGGATGCTTGTCGAGACATCTAAACGCCTTGATATATATATCCTACAGCCAGGGCTCGGTACATGTCATGAAACAGAGCCTTCCCATGACTCGATCGACGTCAGTTCCTGGCTTGATTTAAGCTGGAACGACCAGAGCGGCGCCTTGCGTGGTGTCGGGTTTGGGGGCTTGGAAATTACAGGGTTGGATGTTAAAAGGGGCCTGGATCTGGCATTCTCATCTTGGGAGTACATTATGTGCTCTTCGGCTTGGGGGCATCATGATTTACATGCACTACCTCGAAGTCATATGCACATATCGAAGGTGCACCGGGGACTTGGGCATTGTTTGGATTTCTTATGTAGCACCAAAGTATGAGACTTAAGGGTAAAACAAGGGTATTTATAAGAACCGGGTTTTTTTCGGGAAACCCAGGTTATCAGATCATCCCAATCCCAAACCTAGGTTATTTGTTTGCACCCGACAAATTTTAGGGGTCAAGACGGTCTAGGTAAAGTTTAAAGCTCTGAAACCTTAAATCCCTAAACCCATCAAACCCGTAATCATGTAAAAAACACCCAAAGCTCTGAAACCTTAAGTCCCTAAACCCCTATAGGGCTTAGGGTTTAGGGGTTTAGGGTTTAGGGTTTAGGGTTTAGGGGTTTAGGGGCTTAGGGTTTAGCGTTTAGGGGTTTAGGGTTTAGGGGTTTAGGGGCTTAGGGTTTAGGGGTTTAGGGTTTAGGGGTTTAGGGTTTAGGGTTTACCCCTAGAGCTCTGAAACCCTGAATCCCTAGACCCCTACAGCTCTGAAGCCTTAAACTAAGATGCCCAATAGTGCCCTTATTCCCTTTTTCTAGTCCTTGTAAAGTTACCCAGACTACGTATACTATAATGTACCCCAAAACCAGATTATTGTCATGAAGGCCGGTATCCCCAGGGATCAAAATAGCCCAAAAGCCTTAAATAGTATGGTCTTTGGGCCCAAAAGCCTTAATATCTGAGTCCTTAGATCCCTAAACCTACAGATCCCTTTAAAGGAGCCCTTATAGATCCCCTTTAAAGGATCCCTTAATATGTGAGTCCTTGGATTTTCAGGGTAAGCCCGGCTCTCTGAGCCCCGTGGCAAATCATAGTAGCCACAGGCAGTGTGGATTCCCAGACCCTCGGGATGATCCAAAAAGTAGATCCGTTAATGGGGGTTCCTATAAAGTACCCTTAGTAGTATAGGGCCCCAAATTAGGGGATCTACTTTCTAGATCTTTCCCGGGGTCTGGGCTAAGGGTACATGCGAAACCTCCTGAGACTAAAACCCTATCATTTGCGGATGTGAACCACTAGCAGAGTGTTATCTGAGTGTGATGTCATAGAATTCTAGTCCTGAGCGGTGTGCAGTGCACCGTATGGCAAACAAAGGAGTCTACTGAACGCAAACAGCTTCACTGTACCTTAAGATCCAGCATGACATGGCTACACCTAAGCCCTAAACCCTGCATGCTAAATCCCCAAACTCCTAAACCCCAAACCGTGATAGGAAGTCTTTGTAGCACATCATGAAGCATAAATCCAACGGCTCTAAGGCCGACTCTCAGCCCTGTGCCATGCTTTGCCCGAAATCTCCATTGAAGCTTAGAGACCCAAAACGCCGCCGAAACATACGAAGGGGATTTCGGGAATGCCCCAGGACGAGGATCCTTGCGTTTAGGGTCGGGTTTTGGGCTCAGGGGTTTAGGCTTTACGGGTTTGGGTTTCAGGATCCTTACATCTCGATCCTTGCGTTCAGGCTTTAGGGGTTTAGGCTTTCGGGCTTTGGTTTTAAGATCCTTAAGATCCTTACGGTTGATGGTATAAATCCTGCATTGCCCATAATAAGGAATATATGGGAGTTCTGGCATATTCCTTATTATGGGTAATGCAGGATTTATATCATCAACCCTACGCTTCGGTGAATTTAGGCGGCCTCTGGCAGGAGATGAGCAGCCCACCCAGGCATGCGCCACGCCTGGAGGACGGAGCGTGCTAAGGTCTGCTGTAGATGGATAGGGCTTAATTGCGGGTTTAGGGTTTTAGGGCTCAGGGTCAGCAACCCTCGCACTTAGCAGCATTAGTAGTAGCAGCAGTAGTAGTAGTCGTCGTCGTCGTCGTACCATCCCTCTAGTAACCCCACGGCACCATCGGAGCCCGAAAACCATCTACCAAACCTAGAGCCTCGCAGCTCGCAACGCAGGCCGTCGCGCGGGCGCTGCAAGAAAATCGTGCGGTCACCACCATCCAAAGGGGCTTCCAGCACATTGGCACCGCTTCACAGGCCTTCTTCGGGTGCTAACGGTTGATGATAGAAATCCTGCAGGACCCTAAACTATGGGAATTATCTTCCATATTATGGGTCATGCAGGATTTATACCATCAACCGTAAGGATGTTGTAGGGGTTCCTTTCAAGGGGATTAATAAACATAAGGGTTCCCTGTACGAGAAGCCCTGGGTCTTTCACTGGGGTACTTTTTTGGGGTCCTAACACTTTAAGGGTTCTGTGTGGGGGGGGGGCTATGTCAGGGCTCTATAAAACAAAATCTGCACAGGTTTCGGGTCTGCGGCAGTGGTGGTGCTCTAACTCTAAACCCTAAACCCTAAACCCTAAAGGATTGAGCGGTTTCAGCCTGGAGGTTTGCGAGCTTGGCTTTTGAAAGTCACCTGAGGTCTTGGGGGGGTCGAGGGAATTGTGGTTTGGATGCAGCATCTACTTGAGGGCCAGGGGACTTAGTAGGCAGGTTATAAGTAGGCTTAGAATTGGGGTAACTCCATTTAGGGTACTTATAACTCTACTTATAACCTACTTGCTAAGTCCCCTGCCCCTCCAAGTAGAAGCTGCAGAGGTGTAGTGTTTAGGGCTTCCGGGGTTGAGGTTAGGGTCAGTGGGTGTTGGTGCCTCAGGGTGTTGGGTTGCCTTAAATTACCTAAACCCCAAACCTACCATGCCCTAAACGCGAACCACTTAAGCTTCTAAACCGCTCTACCCTAAACCTTGCAGGTCGCTTTACTGCTTGCAAGCTCTCGAAGTGTCTACCTTTGGGCTTAGGGTTTAGAGGTTCCTTTAAAGGGATCTATAAGGGTTATATAGAGGGGTTTAGGGTTTCGGGTTCTGGATTTAGGTGTGTAGGGTTGTGGGTATTGGGTAGATTGGGCTTGGAAGTTTGGAGCAAGTGGTAGGTGATGTTGTATGCCCCTGTGCCAACATGGAACCCCCAATGGCTCGCTGTATTTCTGGGCGTGTCCGGATTGGCATCCGTTTTGGTGTCAGAGAGGGTGCACAGGTGCGCCTCTCCCCTGGTCTGGTCCTTACTTATGCCATTGCTTGAAGATTGGATCTGACACGGAGGGCCCCAAACTCTAACCCTAAGCTTTAAACCTTAAACCTTAAACCCTCAACCCCCAAGCCCCTAAACCCTAAACCCTTGTATAAACCCAAAACCCCTAAACCCTACACCCCTAAGTCCCTAAACCCCCTAACCCCTAAACCCTAAACTCCATACCCTAAACCCCCAAAACCCTTCAGCTGCTCCCAGAGCCCTGCTAACGCCCCCGGCAGGCCCTGGCAGAGGCTCTCGAGGTCAACGTGTCGGTGACCAGTATCAACCTCCAGGAGTCGAACATAGGGGCGTAGTAGGGCTCCTTTAAGGGGATCTACAGGGTTCCTTCAAGGGCATCTATAGGGTTCCTAGAAGGGGATCTACAGGGTTCCTTGAGTCGAGCGTTCAAGGTTTTAGGGTTCTAACCATATTGGGGAAAACAAAGTTCTTCCCCCAAATGTAATGTGTTTAATGTTTCTTCCTGGAATCGAGCGTTCAAGGCTTAGGGGTTTGGGGGTTTACGGGCCTTGGGGTTCGGGGGTTTAGGGATGTAGGGGGTTTAGGTTTAGGGTTTGGGTGTTTAGGGGTTTAGGGTTTAAGGGCTTAGGGGTTTGGGGGTTTAGGGGTTTAGGCTAGGCGTGTAGGGATTACTAGGGGTGTGGGGTTAAGGGGATTGGGGTTTGCGGGGTTTAGGCGTGTGGGGGGTTAGGGGTTTAGGGTTTCAGAGTTCAGGGCTCAGGGGCTTTGTTTGGGGTTTGGGGGTTAGGGTTTAGGGGTTGAGGGATGGAATGTTGCAGCTGCTGGTGAAATACTGGTATGACTTTGCGTTTGACACTCACGGATTTATTAAGATGGTTCTATATAGAGCTCCTTGTAAGTAGATTTGGGTTCCTTTAAAGTTTAAAGGGGTCCTAAAAGGGTTCTGTAGAGCTCTTAAGGGTGCGGAGGCGAGGTTTCCAGTGCATTGTTGCACGTTTGGGTCGTAGCCTAGCGTCACACAGGCCTAAGGCCTCACGGGGGACTTTTTAAGTTTGACAAAGGCTACGGTTGATGATATAAATCCTGCATTACCTTAAGGATCCTAAACTATGGGAATTATGAATTATGGTCTATTCCCAATTATGAGAAGTGCAGAATTTATGTCATCAACCGTAGGGCTCGGCCACAGCTTCTTTGCGTGCTCCGTCACACCGGGCACCTTTCCAGTCGCCCTTCGGGATGCCTCCGCTGCCGGCAGCAGCTGTTTTCCTTCGGACGTGCGCGTAACGTGTTTGCCAGTTTTCCTGTTTCTTGGCAGGTATGCCTCTTTGATGTGAACCAGAATTGCGAACAGCTCGGTGACCTGCGCGCGTGGGCTGCCTTGTTTTCGACCTAGCCCTGGTGCATGCCTGCGTGCTTCTTTGAAATGTGGGCAGCGCGCGGCTTGTTGTCTTACCTATAAGGACCTGTTCGAGCTACCCTACAACGCGAGTGAAGGGCCGCACACCCGACCTTCTAAGCCTCAGAGCTCTTGACCCCGAGTTTTGCGAGCCGACAAGACCCTGAGCTCTAAGCCCTGCCTAGAACATTTACCCTTTAGTGTAGCCATTGATGAGGAATATGAGACCCCTTTCAGGCATACTCGGCGTGTCCAGGTAAACCCTAAAGCTTTTCCTCCAACCCTAGGCCCTGCCTCAGCCCCAAAAGGAGGGTACGATCGGCGACGCGGGCTGCAAGGCCTCGTGTTTTTTCGGTATCAAATGCATGCCGAACTAGGCGAGGAGGTTTTGTCAGCATGTCAGGAGTATTGATGTGGGGCTGTAGTGCTTTAGCGGTTTGGTGTCTTCGATTTAGGTTTAGGAGCAAGGCCAAGCAAGGTGCCCAAATTTCGGGATCCGTGGAGGCAGCAGGATCACGCAGCCACCTTGTCACTGTGCTTCTAATTCTATGGGCTGTACACTGGAGCGATCTTTTCATAGCGTTTCGGCCATCATTACTTTTTCTCCGGGCTTTACACGCTTTCCTTTTCTACACAGACCTGTCAAAGCCACTCAAGCCGCAGAAACAAAAGACTCCGCCGGACCGTCGGCACCCTGGCGGAGGCTCTCGCAGATGCGCTGAAAGTTAACTCAACGGTTTCTTCGAGCCTCGGAGGATTTTTGCAGAGGGTTACTATTACGGCTTAGTATAGGGGCTTGGATAATGCGAATAGGGTCTATTGAAGGGTTCAAAAATTCGGGGCCGGGTGGGCGGGGTTGTCATGCTCAGATTTGGGTACTTATTTCGGGCTGAAAACCAGTTCGCTCTTGTTTAGTGGTATACCATAGTTTTCTATTGTCTAAAATTCCCAGGTTCAAGACAAGCAAGGCAGCCAAACCCAAAAGCCTCACTTTCGTGAACCCAACGTTTGGTAAAATCACTTTAGCGTTTTAGTGCCAGCTCCCTTCACTGTGCCACTCTCCGAGGGCGCAGTAGGTAAGCTCGATCACCAGCACTACTCGGAGAGAACTTGGCCCTTGTGTAAGGGTCGGAATACTTGACAATACTCAGTATCGCTTTATAATACGTACCTATACGTATACAGTTTTTGCACCCCAAATCCTTCATTCATAGTATCATATAGTATGTACCATATATTATACCCCAAGTCCTTTTTTGAAATTCTCACGACCCCGATCTTAAACCCCTTGTGCCAGGCATCCTCAAGCCTCTCCTACGGTTGATGATATAAATCCTGCAGTACCCGTAATAAGGAATATATACCATAACTCCCATAGTTTAGGGTCCTTGAAGTAATGCAGGATTTATATCATCAACCGTAGCACATATGGGGGTGTTCGCCCCCGACCTCAGATTTCATGCATCGTGAGAGCTCCACAGCTTTGAGGGACAGAGGGAGGGAGTGAGAGGGAGGGAGAGAGAAGGTTGGACCTGTGAGCAGTGGCTCAACTCGTATCCGTGGCTGAACAAAGATTTTTTTGCCGGCCTTGACCGGGCGTACTTGGCCAGCGTAGACTGTACCATCAAGTCCCTAGACCCTAAGACCTCCAACCGAAACCCCCAAAAAAGTCGAAGTTGAACCTGCAGCCCGTATGACGTGGCACTAAGGATCAACTTGGCACGAAATGACATCGGCGACGATGGGGCCAAGGTGGGTTGTGCTGCGGTTGTGGATGGGGAAAATCCAGGGAGCCCAGTGTATTAGGGAATATGTACCTTAACCTAGATTCTCGCCTTGGTTCATGTGCAGAATTCCTATCTAGTAGCTAGATAGGAATTCCGAACATGAACGAAGGCGCATTCCTTGATTAAGGTCGATTAGGCCTCTACTTGGAGGATCAGGGACTTAGTAAGTAAGGTTATAAGTACCTTAATTGGGGTTACAAGTATAGTTACCCTGATTATAACCCCAGTTACTATGTCCCATGATCCTTTAAGTAGTAGGGGAACAGAAAAGAGATTAATCTTATGCTGGGGTGCGTTGACTCCAAGAACGTCCCCTACCTCAAACTGCAAAATTCAGAAGTTAGGGATTTTGCCATTGCCTGGTCCCCAAAAGTGTGTAGAATAACAGCCCCTTATGGGTTTTGGGCCATATTTCAGATAACTTTTGGGGGTTTGGGTCTGGGCTTCTGGCTGTGCTGATGGCTTCGGATGGATTTCGGGGCTTCGGGCCCAAGGCTTGTTATGTTGGGCTCTTGCCTAAATCCTCATCACCTGAACCCCTAAACCCCAATCCCCCAAACTCCTCAAGTCTAAACCCGTAGACCCTCAGCTGCAGAGTCTAACTGTAGCAACAGCAAAACGGTAACTTCCTCAGTTCTCAGGTGTTCCTTTGACCCTTGAAAAGGCCTCAATATAGTGTTTAGGCTTTAGACCTTTAGGTCTTTTAGGGTCTAGGGTTTCTAGGGGCTTGAAAAAAGCCAACACGAATCCTTAAGGCTCCGTAGAACAGCAAGCGCAATCAGCACAGGCAAACAAGAAGCACGCCAGTATCGATGTCCCTCTGCTCGTAGCAATATACCCCCAAACCGCATTATAATTGTTAAGGCCCCAATATTCTCTGTAACCATTTACTTGAGCTTGAACTGCTGGCCCTTAACTACTAAACCCTTATAGATCCCTTAAAGAGCCCTTGAAGGAGCTCTTGAAGGAACCCTTTAAGAAAGCTTTTGGGAACCCGCACAGGAACCCTTACGGCGCCTTTTCGGAGCCAGAACTCCATATGGGAGTTTCCGAAAATAGGGAACCCTAATATAGTACCCTAAATAGTAGGATCCTTATTATAAGGACCCCCAAAATAAGGTACCGGTACCCCCAATTCCGGAAACTCCCATATGTCACCTTGCATAAGCAGGTTTTTGTTGGTTGGGGTTAAGGTTTCGGGGTTTAGGGTCTAGGGCCTTAGGATTTTCGGCTAGACTTCGGGGTTTAGGGCTCAGGGTTCTGCAGCCCCCAAGTCTAGGCTGCACCTAAGCCCGAAACCTAAACATGTGCACAACCCTGCAAAGAACAAACCAGTCAACAAACACCCTTAACACCCCCATAGAGAAGCCTATACAGCGCGTCTATCACCCATAAAGACTCATAAAAGCTTCCAGCACCCTCAACCCTAAACCCTAAACCCACCAACCCTGAACCCCTGAACTCTAAGCCCTAACTAAACCCTGAACCCCGAACCCTAAACCCTTAAGCCCCCAAACCCTTAACCCCCTAAACCCGAAAAGCTGCAGAAAAGGTGCTCGCCGAAGCGTTGAAGATCAATCGCTCGGTGACCGAAATCTCTTTGACTCGAAACAACATCGGCGACGACGGCGCCCAGGCCGTTACTTGGGTTTAGGATATCTAGGGTGGTCGTCAAAATTAGGATCCCTGTTTGGATACCCTAAATAATAGGTGCTGTATTAGAATAAGGACCCAAAAAGGGACCATAATTTTGACAACCGCCCATTTAGGGTCCTGAATACAGTAAAGGGTGCCTTTAAAAGGATACTATGCGGTTTAGGATTTAAGGTTCCTTTAAAGGGGTTTATAGGGCCTACTGTAAGGGTTTCGGCCCTTACTTGGGTTCAGGGTTTAGGGTTTGAAATAGGGTTTAGGGTTGGGCGTTCTACTACTACATATGCAGTACTCAACCGTGGCCACAACCGCAAATACCTTGGTAAGTTTATACTGGGTTCCATTACAGTAGAAGCCAGAAAGTTGGATCATCATTATCCTCATGCCCTTCAAATACAGTACAAGAAATCCCACCACGAATCATTCTCAATCCATGTTCCAGCTTTAAGGGTTCCGTTAAGGGTTTCTACATGGGTCCTCCTAAGGGTTGTATGCAGGGACTGTTTTTTTAATAGTGAACCCCATATGGGTTTCGGGCTCGAAACGGTTTCAGGCATCAGAGCGGGTCTGGGAAGCAGGCGAAGGCTATCTCGGGTTTCGGGTTTGGGGTTTAGGCTTAGGGTTTAGGGCCGAGTAGGGTTTGGGGCTTAGGGTTTAGGCTTTGGGGAAGGTTCGGTATGTTATGCAGGGCTTGTTACAATGGTTTCAAGAGGAACCTGCAGGTTTTGGTGACTTTGTGAGTTCAGACAGCAGGTCGCGTAGAGGGGCTAGTGGATGCAGAGTGAAAACTCCAAAAGCCCGAAATTCAAGGCCACGACCCCAAACCACCCAAACGTTCAAGCTTACAGTGAACCTGAGAAAGTTGGAGCATTGATTTAGGATGATTCTTGCTGGGAACCCCTATACTTTACTTTAAGGGCACGAGGATAATGATGTTCCAACCTTCTGGCTTCTACTGTATGCCGCAAGACCCTAAGGAGACAAAGACAAAGCTAACCGTTATCAAGCACCTCGCCGATGCTGAACACATGATACAAAGGGTTGCAGAATTTGGTGTTTGGTTTTAGGGATTCAGAGGGTCGAGTTTTCGGCAGGACTTTGCACAAGGCTAGGTGGCACTTTGGAAACTTGAAAACCCTTATGGCTACTATAGAGGCACCTATTGAAACAACCCTAAACTTGCAGTCGGAAAAGGACCCATAAAAATAAAAATAAACTTAACCCCCAACCTCAAACACCCCTTCCTTCAGAATTACTTTCGAGGCGCGGAGGAACGGTTGATGATGTAACTCCTGCATCACCTTAATGACCCTAGACTAAGGGAATTATGGTGAATTCCTTATTATGGGTAACAGACTTATAACACTAAACCCTGAACCCCTTATAGATCCCTTAAAGGAGCCCCTTCAAGGTCCCCTTATAGGTCCCTTTAAAGGAACCCCAGGATTTATATCATCAACCGAAGCACAGCCCAGAGCAGGGGAGAGCCTGGAGATAGCCGAGGGAGAGCTGTGGACGCTCGAGATCCTGTTGATGATGTAAACCCTGCATGACCCATAATAAGGAACATACCATAATTCCCATATATTCCTTATTATGGGTCATGCAGGATTTACATCATCAACCGTCGCACACGAGTTGCTGCGATGGCTTGTCCAAAACATATCGCATGGCTTTTCGGAGCCTTTGAACCCCCATGACCAGGGACCAACCATGACCCACCATGACCACCATTTTTGGACGATTGTCCACGAAAAGGTATTTGCGCAGGCTTCTGTGGCTTCATGAACACCGCTCGGACATGTACGAGCAGTCGCAGACAGAGTTGGTGGCAAAGCTGACAGAGTCAGTGCCCTCGCTGAGAAGTCAGCGCTGGAGGCTAATTAAGCTCAGCAGTGCAAGAGCACTCTTCAACAAAGAGCTGAAAGAGATGCGCAAAGGATTTTGTAGGGTTCAGAGCGGGTAAATTGGGCGTCGATGCTGGTGGGCCTTACGGTTGAGGTGTGTACCTTTGAGTCCCTACATACCTAGTGTGTATTGAGCCCCAGCGCACTAAAAGATTCGCCTAGTCAGGGGTTTAAGGATAAGGGCCTCAGGGCAAAGAACGGTAGCAAAAAGAAAAAGGTGCCTAGAATCTGGGTTTAAGAAACCCCCGAGATCATGGTTGTATTCTTCTCCAGCAGGGCCATCATACCCCTTTGAACCATCGACCATCGTAGAGACTGGAGAGGCTCTTGCAGGGGCCATCGCCATCAACAGCTCAATCGTCAAGGTTCGGCGTGCTCTGGTCTTCGAGTTCAGGGTTTTAGGCTATGTTCGGGTTAAAAGGCTCGCAGCTTCACGTTCTCCACAGAGCCCCGTGTACCTTTGAAATAGAGGCTGTCTCGACATGGGGGTTTCCGAAAATAGGGGACCCTAATATTGCCGTGCCCGAAATGCTAGGATCCTCATAAAAAGGAGCTCCAAACTAAGGTACCCCCAAATTTTCGGAAACTCTAAACCCCTTATAGAACCCTTTACAGCAACCCGAATACTTCCCTTATAGCAACCCTTTAAAGGAACCCTAATAGTACCCTTACAGCAACCCTTACAAGGAACCCTAATGGTACCCTATTTCAAAGGAAGGCATAAACCGTTTTGGGATCTCGGGCTGCCTCTGCAGGGATCGTGGGCTTAAAGGAACTTTCATGTGGGAGCTTCCGAAAATTGGGGGGGGGTTGGAGTTTCTTCAAAGGGATCTTGTTAAGGGTTCCTTAAAGGGATCCATTATAAGGATTTCTATAAAGGGTTTAGGGTTTAGAGTTTCCGGAAATTCGGGGTACCTTATGTCGGGGCTCCTTATAATCAGGATCCTACTACTTAGGGTACTACATTAGGGTCCCCTAGTTTCGGAAACCCCGATGTAGGTAGTTCTTTAAATTAGGGTCCTTTTGGGGGTGCCGTACTGTTTTGGCGACTGAAAAGGGACCTGATTTACAGGACTACTCATTTTGTGGTGGGGGGGTCTTTCGGATAAGGAGTGCCTCGGCAATATGGCATCTTCCAAAAGATTCGTCTAACTCCTCCAAGTGGGAAAGTGCAGAAGGCGTTGTATGTGTTAGTTCTCTATACCACATACTGTGATAATTCTTAGCAGAACATACTTGCACCTGTTAGACGGCGATGAAATATATAATGATAGATTGCAATGCGATACAAACAGATCGAATGATTCGCAGAAAGTCTCATGAGAATGGGCCGTGCGCAGCCGACAGACTGGATTTCATTCATCCCGCTAGCAGTAGAGCAGTACCCTTTAACGTTTTTGGGGTTCTGTGATCCCTAGATAGTCCCAATATACTTCCAGAGGTTTAGTTCGCCAGGATACTCGACAAGTGGGCGCCCTTACTCAGTAACAGTTGAATAATGCTTATAAGACAGGTACATAAGGCCCTTGATAATAGCCCCACCCTTGCCGTACGGGGTAATAGGTAGACATATGAGTATCCTGAGCGGGGTTTAAATTTGGGTTGTGGTACTTATAGCTCTATAAAAGATCTACTGACTAAGTCCGATGCTGTGAAGGTCGATCTGAGTTTCAACAGCCGCATCGGAGAAGTTGGGGCACAGGCGAGGAGCAACATTCAGGGTTTAGGGGTTTGGGGTTTAGGGGTAGCCCCAATTAAATGCTGCAAGCAACTTCAAGATGGCTATCTCTTGTGGTCTTTACGAGTTGGCGGTTTTGTTACTTCTTGTGTCCATCATCTCGCCTCTTTGGGTGATCGAATGTTGGCATCGAAACTCACGTACACACTTTGTGTTCGACTCGCCTGTTGTTGAAGGCATGATTAGGCCCGCAACGTGAAACCTAAATCCTGACTTCGCGCATTTTGTTCTTGACTCAGCCTCGCATGCTTGACTGCAGGGCCCTCAACTCTTAAAGCTCCGGTTTAGGGTTTAGGGTGTGCCAGGGTGTAGGGTTTATTAGGGTTTAGGGTTTGTTCTGAAGCTTAAGCCCTTCATTCCCACCGCAACCCGGCAGCTTCAGAGCCCTACGACATCCTAATTGCAAACCTCCCAAACAACCTACCTCCACACCTTCACTAGGATGCCCAGCAGTACCCTTATTCCCTTTTTGTAGTCCTAGGTTCCTTATAAATTAAAGTTACCCAATACCAAAAGGGAGTCCTTTGTATTCCTAGGTTCCTGGGCATCCTAGTTCATAACGCAAGGTTTCTGGACAAAGAGGCCGAAAGCCGCCAAGAAGATCTATAGATCCATAAAGCCAAGGGATACGGTTGATGATATAAATCCTGCATTAGCTTAAGGACCCTAAGCTATGGGAATAATGGTATATTCCTTATTTTGGGTAGTGCAGGATTTATACTATCAACCGTATGTCGAAGCAGACATGAACTACTCAGATCGCCAACGTGAGAGCCTGAACTCTTTCCTTTCTTGGTTTAGTACACTGCAAACTTACAGCTTTTTCTGGGTGGGTTGCTGAAGAAGGGAGACGACTGGACAGGCTTTGTCTGTGCATACTTCCTATATTGGGTCTAACGGGATCTGCTTGACGAAGGCGTTTCAAAAGCCCTCCCGAAGCCCTTAAGCCCCAAACTTCTCCATGTAAGCCCTGAGCCGCACCATCAAGTCAGTTCTCAGCTTTAGATTTTGGGGTTCTAGGACTAAGGGTGTTCTGATTCAGGTGGGATTCAGAGTTCAGGCTACGACGACCCCGGTGGAAGTTCCTTGAGGTTGACAACCCTGTTAAGGCGAATTCAAACAGCTTGCATTGCAGCCCCTAAACAAAACATAGGTAAAGAGCTTGACGAAAAGTTAGGACAGAGAACGCCAAGCCGTCCAAATCCCTCCTAGGCGTAAGCAGCACATACAATCCCTTACAGAATAGGCCGAGAATAACCCTGAAACACCCAAAAGAATTCTGGAACGACCTTGTAGAACGCCATGAAAAACTGTTGATGGAGCCCTTCCTAGTAGTCGAGCAGGTGACCTTTTTGGATAGTATAGCCCCTAGATAATCCCTATATAACCAAACAGGTTAACCTTTAGTTCCCCATGATACCCGACAAGGAGCCCTTAAAGCAAGCCATGCAGAAGGCCCTGGAGGAAGTTCGTCAAGCGAACAGCTCCGTGGTCTGCTGGTGATAGTCGTGGCTCAGTCGGCAAGGGCCTGGTTTTAACGGGTCCCACAAAGGAAATCCACCAACAAATATATGTATATATATATATATATATATATATATATATATATTTTTATGTGTATATACGTATATATATATATATATATAGATAGATATACACGTGTGTGTGTGCACGCGCTGCATACTTTATTGTATAAGCATGTAAGTAAGTAAGTAAGTAAGTAAGCAAGCATGTGTGTATGTAGGTATGTGGGTACGCATTATCTACTTATATACTCACATGTATACAGACACACCAGCATACATGCTTGTGTTTACGCATATGTTGCGGGTTTCTTTGGGGCCTTTTAGGGTTCTATGTGGTGGTGTTCAGGGTGCTGCCAGGGTTCGAAAGGGTGTTAGAGCCTTAGAGGTGTCTAGATTACAAGAGCTTTTCGGCGCTTTGTGGGGATTCGTCAAAGACCTGAGACTTGAGACCCAGGGTAAAGAAATTGCCGAAAGTCACAGGAAACCAATAAGAATCCGATAGACAGGCCCGGAAACCATGAGAAAACCATAGGGTGCGCGTCTACGTGGGGTTGGTGCGGTGTAATCGTGCATAATTTGTTCTGGTTCGGGATCTGCATTGCTTCTGGCGAAGGAGGTTCGGGGTTGACAGGGCTTAATGTCTGCAAGAGCCGGTAGAAGCAATCATTTGGGTCAGCTTCTGCTTGCGTTGGGAACCGCCGATCAATTTCCGCTGGCGTGGATCCACGGGTGCGTTAGCCTTTAGGGTTCTATGGCCCTTCTACCCTCTTAACTTAGGAACAGTTGAAAAGGGTACCCAGCATTGCGAAAGCTTCACTGGGGAACGCACGCATTGACTACAGCTTTCCGCAACACCCGAGTCCCAAAGAAAGGGTGAAGCTAGGCTGCTCGGATTCCACACCTCGGTCTCACAGACTACACAAGCATAAGCATTTTATAGGGATATCCCTACCTTATTGGCCTTCCTTTTAAGGGGGTTTATGTGGGATACCCCTATCCTTATTCTTGCTTATGTGCTTTTTTTGGGGGGCCCTAGACTAGAAGTTTAGGGCTTAAGGGTTTAAGGCTTAGGGCTCAGGGAATCCACGAGTATCACGTCGTCTTTGAATCCTTCTTGACAGTGGGTCAATCGCAAATAGTCTTGCTACATAATCATGCATGGCCAGGCATTGGATGCTTGCAGTGCCGTGATGACGATGAGGGTGGCGAACAATGATGGCGATGATGATTCTGATGATGTCCACCAGGCTGCCAACACCATCAACATCCACGACAGCATAACCCTAAACCCCAAGTCCTTGAAGCAGCAGGTGGGTGCACGAAATGGTTCACACGCACTTTAATCCCCAGAACATCTTTACTGTGAATTGACTTAGGAGGGTTTAGGGCTATAAGGTTTTATCCCAGGGTTTCCTTAAAGGGTACTGTAGGGTTCAATAGTGGGGTTCCTTTCAAAGATACTATAAGGCTTTACCGTTTGCTGTACCGTTTATAACGGGGTTTAGGGTTGAGGTGTGGGTGCGACCACGTATGCACTCCTACTGTGGAAAGGTGTAGCGACCATCCCAAGCCCTAATCGAACCCTAAACCTCGTCATAATCTCGGGGGTCAGAATGCTACATAAGAAAACCCCTTTCCAATCTCTTGTAAAACTCAAAACCCTATTCTGATTAGGACCTCTGTATGACCTTCATTCACACGAAAGCACATGCCCTGTGGATTCTTGCCAGTTCCTTTCCGTAGCTTCAAGGCTTGCCGAAGGCAAGTGGAGATTCCGAGAGACCGCGTGGGGCAGCTCGAAAAAGGAGAAGGTTGGCCTCAGGGTTTAGGATTTGGTTCGGATTGAGCGTCTGGGGTTTCACGGCCTAGGGTTTTTTGGGTCTAAGTTTAGGTTTTAGGGTTTAGGGTTCTGGGTTTAAGTTTAGAGTTTAAGGCCATGCACTGCGCACTGCGCTCTGAACCTTGGACTGGGTGTTCCTCCGGTTCCTGCCACCTCCTTCCCGTGCCACCTAATATCCGAATATAGGGGCCTTAATGATTACCGAAACTATTTTGGGGGGCTCCTTATTATAATTGTAGCATAAGGGGCCCCAAAACCCTATTCTAATTATTAAGGCCCCTATACTGCGCGATGGTCACCGGTGGAGGGGTGAGGAATCACAGCTCCAGGGTTCAAGGTATCCAGAGACTCCAGTATCCCTTGATTAAGGAAAACCCTACTATGATTTAAGGTATATCCCTTAATTAAATCAAGAGATATTGGAATGTCAGGATGTCATGTGCGTTCACCAAACATCATGTGCATGGTTTTGTCAGGAGCAGAGAGAAAGGGATTCTGAAAAGACTTTCTGCCCCCAACCCTAAACCTAAAGGCCTAAACCCTACCTTAACCCCCAAAAGTAGGTGAAAAAATGGCCCCAAGCCTATTAATAGGGCAACTATTCTACATAGTTTTCGGGTCCAGGTAGTCCCTAACCCCCAAGAACCCTAACGTAGTCCCTAACCCCTAAACCCTACTACAACTCACCGAGTTCTAAACCGCCAAACCCTGACGACCTAATAAGTTTAGCACCTGAGATCTAGGGTCGTGGCCTGGGCTGGAGGTTACGGGTTTTGTTTTTTGGGGTTTAGGGTTTAGGGTTTCAGGGTTTGGGGTTTTAGGGTTTAGGGTTTAAGGTTCAGGGTCTGGGGTTTAAGATTAATGGCTTCGGTGCAGGAGAAAGTACCCTACAACCTTCCTTGCCACTGGCTCGTACTTCGCTAGATCTCAGAGGGCCGATGCTCCACATGCTATGGAGCGTTTAGGAGCTTAGCCAGGTTCCTGAGTACTACCCTGTGGCCCTTTTTCGTTTTAGGTCCTTTACTAAAACGGAAATGTAGGAACAAGGGTACGTACCCTTTTTAAGGGGCTACTCCAGAACCTAGGCTAGTCTTGGGGACCAAATTTCCTGTGCCAAGTCAGCAGAACCAATCCTGAAAGCCCGCAAGGGCCCTGCAATCGCATATACGACTCTTGGGGACATGGTTGAGTTTTTTGGGGGGATTAGAGTTTCCGAATAATCTCCAGACAGTTTCACTGTTGCGCTATCTAGAGGTTGAAGCTGCCTGCAAATTGGGTTTCTCTGAGCTGTGGAAGCCTCAAGACTTGCCAATACAACTTGGGGGGTTCCTTCTTATAATTATAGTGTAATGAGCCCCCAGTTCTAATTATTAAGGCTCCTAGATTAATTCGTTCCAAAACCCCGAAAGAATCATTCGGCAATTTAGGCTCAAGGGACGATTTGGCGGATAAAGTTTGCAGGAGCGTCCACGGCGCCTATGCACCAATAGGCACAGGGTTTGGGTTTCGGGTATAGGGTTTAGGCGCAGGGTTTAGGGTTTGGTGTTTCAGAGGGGTACTTCTTAACAATGGCAGTAAGCTAGAGGGTCTAGCTTGGTAAATGCAACTGTTTCATAATTTTTTCCGTGTAAATTGAAGCCTGTGGAGGACAGACAATGGTTCGTTGAGGGGGCTTGGGATGGTGCTGTTCCACTTCGGGATCCAAGCCTGTCGGACTCCGTGGCGGAGTCGTACTTTGACCGCTTCCTAGGCCTGGTTCAATTCGTAGATGACTTCAATGAAGGTCAGGTCCTCGAGTCCGTTTGGGATTACCTTGCCCTCGAGAACGTAAGAGCTTGGCTGTACTGGTTCCTCGAGAACCCGAGACAGATCAAAGCGACTGGCATCAAGAAGGCTTATACGCCCTCGTATCTGAACTCCTTGGTCCGCACTTTGCGGGCTTTGGGGAAATGTTTCGTTGGAGATCCGGAAACGGATGAGGACGCGGCAGAATGGTTCAAAGGCTTGAAGCTGCTCCTTCAGAAGGACGGGTTTACTCAAGTGCAGTAACTGATATAGATTGCATTTACTGATCACGAAGCTACAGTTAATTGCATTTACTGAGTGCAATTTCTCCATGCATTGCATTTACTGTGCATCATGTTGCGGGCAGGTCGTTTCGGAGCTCAAGAGATCTCCGAAACTCCGCGACGACATGGTCGTGGAGGACGAGGCCGAGGCCGATGCCGAGGGGGCATTGGTCTTCCTGGCCAAGGAGAAGCAAAGCCTGGACCATCTCCTGGCGAAGCTCCAAATTTTTGAGGTGAACATGGCCAAGAAATCCGTGGCGGTGGCCAAGTTAAAAAGAAGGCCCGACGCGGTAGCGGCTAAGGCACGCTACGAGCTTGCGAGAATGAAACAAGCCCATTTGGCCTCGCTGTTGCTGCTGTGGCATTCTGGTCGACTGTCTGACATCAAGAACCTCGTCCTGAATTGGGACCTGCGAAAAGAGAAGACAGCTCGCGGCCTTCAATGGGTCATGGACCCAGTGGAGTTTAAAACGAAGTGGCGTGCTGTGGACGCAGATGTCCGCGAGGCGCGCTTTTGTGCATTGCATAGTCCACATTCAATCTGCCGCATTAACTGCATTTACTGTCAGGACCCAGGCAAAATCCTTCACAAGAAGGTGGCGGAGGCTCTCTCTGAGTTTCTGCGTAGGCACCGGCCAATTCTGGTTAAGAGCCTCGGCCAAAGAGCCAGGCATAATGTCACCTTTCGAGATGAGATTCACGGCGAGGGCGCCAGTGTCTGCCAAACGCTCTTTCCCGGCTATTGGCCGCAAAATCAGGCACATACGTTTGTGCAGCACACCTTCAAGAAAGTGCTGGTAAGGCTTTGCCTCAGGCCATGACTCCCGACCTGCTTCGTGAGCATGGGGTGCACGAGGCTGCTGTATACCAGCAGCTGCACCATTCAAGGGCGGTCCATGATCAAAATTACGTCCGTGGACTGCGAAACTCCCTCAATGCGCTGCAGGCTACTCTTTTCCGCTGGCAGTAGCCCTGTGCAGCAAGAGCGCTATGAATCCTTCCGGCTGGTCAAATGCTCGTGTCAAAATTCTACACTTCCCGAAAATCTTCACCCAAAGAACCCTAATGCAGGGGTCGTAGTGATAAGACTTGGCTTCTAGGATTTACCGTAATGGCTTCCTTAGTCCCTTAGGCCCTAAGAACAAAGTCCTCGCAGCTTGAGGTCTGCGCAAACCCTAAACCCTGAACCCATTGCACCCCAAACCTTAAAGGGATCCTATAAAAGGGGTTTAGGGTTAGGGTTTAGGGTAAGGGATCCTATAAAGGGATTTATAAGGAGTCCTTTGCGTTTACTGTCTGGTTCTTAGTAGGGAAAGGGGGAAAGGATGATGGAGACTATTTTTGCGGATTCTGTAGGGACTACTCTCGGGAATGGTTCCCCCATTCCCTACTAAGCACCAGACAATGGTGGGTTGTCGCGAGCTCTTCGAGGAGATACGGCCCGCGCTGCGTCTTTCCTCATAGCGGTGCTTGACTGTCGAAGGGCGGCAGCAACCCTAAACCCTAAGCCCTAAACCCTAAGCCCTAAACCCTAAACCCTAAGAGCCACATGGTGCCGAGCGCTGCCCCGCGTGCTCTCCGCGATCGAGGATTTGATGCCATGAAGGAGCTCCAGGACTCAGGCGAATTTCCTCGCGCAGGCGCAATTCTTCCTGTACATCTTCAAGACATAAGTGCCCAACGGCTGCAATGTCCGCAGCAAAGGCTTCCTGAGATGGCAACGGAGCACCGGTTTTTTTCAGAAGACTGTTTGCTTTGCTCAGCCATTTGGTTGGTAGTGATCCTTTGAAGTTGTCGAAACAGGCTGTTGCGTTGTATGAATGAGGTCTCTTTTGAACAGTTGAGGTGAATTGATTTGGAGCCTGCATGGATTCCTGGTGTCCCATGATCTATGGGTAGCTCAGGTTCAGGGTTTAGGGGTTTAGGGGGCTCGTGGATAGGCCCTATACCCGGCAGCGGGCGAAAGCAGTGTCCGGGAAGTTCGGAGATGCAGTTTCTTGGATTGTTGCATTCGCACCTCATGGTTGCAGCAACCTGCCGTTCCCCGACCAGAGCAACGCAAGTAATACACGCTCTAAATCATCAGGCCATGCTTTGATAGTTCGGTCTAATTGTTTTAGTCATGGTACAAAAATCCCCAAGTCCTCACTTTTATTCTGAAGGCCCCTATATTCGACATCAACTCTGAAATGATTACAAAAGAGCTTTGGCGTTCTGGCAGCACCAAAGCCCTTACAAGTACATCCCTGACACGGGTTTTCTGCACGAGAGCCACGTAGCACAGAAGCCCTTAAGAATCCCTGTCCCTGGGAAATGTTGTAGGGTTTAAGGTTTAGTATATTGAATGCCCCAAAACCTTATTCAAATTAAGCCCTATGGATCCCCTTGCGAGGAGCCGTTTAAACCAGACCCTAAACCCTTCAAAGGAACCCTTCAAACTAGGCGCATATGGGTATTTGGGTAGTTGTCAAAATTATGATCCCTTTTTGGATACCCTAAAAATTAGGTGCCGTACTATATTAGGGACCCAAAAAGGGACCATAATTTTCACAACCACCCACATGGCCTCAACCCTAAACCCTAAACCCTTTATAGAACCCTGTATAGATCCCTTTAAGGAACCCTTCAAGGATCCCTTTACTTTTTATAAAGAAATCATATTAAGGAGCCCTAAAAAGATAGGTTCCTTAGGGTCCAGGTCAAAACAGGCGGACTGCGGGGGCTCGGAGCCCACCTCTCCCCAGGTAAGTGGAAGGCTTGAGAGTCCCTTGTGGGGCTTTGGGCTTCCGGTTTAGGGTTTAGGGTTTAGGTATTGGGGTTTAGGGTTTATTTAGGTTTTAGGGTTTTAGGGTTTAGGAAATGGGGTTTAGGGTCTAGCTTTTAGGGTTTAGGTTTGAGGGTTAAGGTTTTAGGGTTTAGGGTTTACTTCAGGGCTCATGGGACTTAGTAAGTAAGGCTATAAGTAGGTTACAGTTAGGATAACCCCACTTAGGGGACTTATAAGTGGGTCTAAGTAGGGTTCTCTTGAGGTTAGGGTCTTGTCATGGTCTCTGAATGCCTAAGCCCGGTGAAATACGCATAATATCGTGCTTCGGTTGATGGTATAAATCCCGCATGACCCATAATAAGGACTATACCATAATTCCCATAGTTTAGGGTCCTTAAGGTAATGCAGGATTTTTACCATCAGCAGTTCCGGCTACAAGGCTTTCGGGTTAAGGGTTAAGGGTTTGGTGCATCACCCAATTTGATAGCTGCTCAACCGCAGAAATCCCTTGCAAAGGTTGCCTATGAGATGGCCCCGGGAGTTCAAGAAGAGGCCCCGAGAAGGTTTCGGAAGAGTGTTATTGTGGGGAAGAGATACTAAGTACCTTGCCGCTCCGAAGTCGAACTGTTATGGTGCATTGTGTACTGCGTCCTCAGCCATTCTGGTTCTCGAATACCCTGTGTTGTACTGGGATGCGCGGATAAAGGGGTGCCGGGCAGAGCGAGATGCAATTCGCGACCTTTTGTCTCGACAAGCCACTTTCCTGCTGGGATTCAGGATTGAGAAAATCTGACAAAGGTGGTTGGATCCCATGCTGCAAAGCTTTCCAGGCTCTGAGATGTGAGCATAAGATGAGGGCTCAATCGCTTAGGCCACGACGATGCCAAGGTAATTTTCAAAACCCTAAACTTAGGGCTACTTTGAAATAGTTCTTAATTGTTGGTTATTATAACCCCTAAGAAACAGCTAAAGTCATAATTTTTGCTAGGGTTCTAAGTTCAGTATAGTAAACCCTATTCCAGCACTACTCGCCTTCAGTCGGCTTCTGGATGGAACGCAAATCTTCAAAGAGCGCTCCCTTCCCTTTGCTACCCCAAAGCTGGGCAGAATCTTCCAATCTTTACTTGATGATCCCCGAAACGCTAAACCCTAAACCGTTTTAACCCTTCGCCGCCTTGCCTTCCGGGGCTCTTTGATGCGATATTGCTAGCCATGTCTTTGAGACACCGCGGTCTCAGACCAAGCGTTCAGCCGGGCTTTTCGGACGCTTGTCTGCAGGTTCATGATTTTACGGTTTAGGGTTCAGGGCTTTCATGAGCTGTCAGGAACAGGGCATTTTATACCTCCTCGGGCTTGCTTGTATTTCCACTAAACCCTTAAATGTAGATTCCGGTTCCCTTCTACTGCAGGCTTCGAGTATCATGACTGCCCTTTTGCATATCTTGTAGCAGAGCCTACTTGCAGCCGAAGTTGCCTCAAAAACCGTTTCTGATGCCTCGCAGTCGCTCTTGCATCCAGTGAGAGGGCTTCCCAAAGCCCTAACCTGGACCCCAAAAGTATGTAGAATAGTAGCCCCGTTACAAGTTTTGGGCCATCATTTCACCTAGTTTTGGGGGTTTAGGAAATCCCCACCTTGTATAAACATCAACTCTAAAAGCGAATCAGGGGTTGGAAACCGGAACCTTACAAAGGTCCTCAGCATCAGGCCTTCTGAGCATGCGAGTCCAAAGGACAAGCTTGAGTTATCTTGTCCTCGTCCGGTTGAGGGTTTAAGGCTTTGCCGGATTCTGGGTACTTCGGTTGATGATATAAATCCTTCAATACCTGAAGGACCCCAAACTATGGGAACTATGGTCTATTCCTTATAATGGGTAATGCAGGATTTATATCATCAACCGTTGTGAATGTTGCTTTGAACTTCCGTGCTTTGTTTTCGGCGCTCCACTCCGTCGTTGGGCCGCGATTTATAGGGAGCCAAAAACAACGTAAGCACAAGCATGTTACAGGGATATCCCTGCTTATTGGGCTTCATTACACGGGGGTTTATGCGGGAGAGTCCTGTCCTAACCCTTGCTTATGCGTCCTTTTGGAGCCCTACTAGGATGCCCAGTAGTACCCTTATTCTCTTTTTGTAGTCCTAGGTTCCTTTTAAAGTTACCCAATACCAAAAAGAGAGGCCTTTTTATTCCTAGGTTACTGGGTATCCTTGCCTAAAATGGTAAATTGTAGCTGTCAAGCTCGATGGCACTGGCACACAAGGACCGGAGACTGCACGTGCCAACGTGGGCGTTCCTCAGTTTGGCCGTTCTGCTGTCGAAGGTTTGGGGCTTGACTCATGAGCAATATAGTGATACCCATAGACATACAATTAATCGGAATAATGCTGTTACTGACAAGCGTCATCATACCTGTACGAATTCAATAGTGCAAGTTATTGCTGTTATAGGCACAGTAACAACAGTAAAGAGTAAAAGCAACAAGACCAAGAGTAAGAATGATACTGTTGATGGACAGAATCCTGCATTACCCATTTTCAGGAATATACCATAGTTCCCATAGTTTAGAGTCCTTAGGGTCATGCAGGGTTTTGTCCTAAACCTTAAACCCTAAACCCCCCTTAAAGGTACCCCTATAGCTCCCTTTAAGGGAACCCTAGGTTTTTGTCCATCAACAGTAACAGTAACGGCCCCACTTTACCAGGCTGCCTTCGGAGCGGTTCCCGTGCCTGGCAGGCTGCGCGGGCACGTCCCGAGACGATACTTACCTTTGGTTAGTAGGGAATGGAAGAATGGTAGCAATAGTAGTTATTACGGTTTAGGGTTTAGGGTTTAGGGTATATAGTAGTAAATAGTAGTTATAATTGTACCCCATTCCTCCATTCCCTACTAACCAAAGCTAAGGATACCGGGAAGGAGGGGAGAGCGGGAGCCTCCGGGAGAAGTCTCCCGGTCCTGTGTCCAAACTGGTCGGTGTTGCTGGGCTCTTCTTGAGGAGTTTAGGGTTTAGGGTTTAGGGGTTTGGGGTTTACGGTTTAGAGTTTGGTTCAAGTTACCATCATGTGGCACCCTTTTATCTGCTATTGAACCCTAGTATGGTAACCTTAAACGTCCTATGAGAAAAGCCCTTAAAGAACCGGTAAACGAATCCTGAACTATCGTATATCCGTTCTTTCACAGGTTGCGGAGGACGATTTCTTAAAGCAGAAGTTTGGTGCTCACTGGCTCCATGCCAAAGCCTCTGAGCTACGTTTGCCATTTACCGTGGAAGATTGATTCTGAGCTGGGTTTAGGGTTTAGGTTTAGGGTTTAGGGTTTTACGGCACACTTGATTATTTGTAATTAGAGTCGTCTCTACTTCAGAAGGAACAGCCAGAATGATTTTAAGGGAGCCTCCAACCCTAGGGATCAAAACGGCCCAAAAGCCTTAATTAGTATGGTCTTTGGGCCCAAAAGCCTTAATATCTGAGTCCATAAATCAAACTCTATAGATCCCTTTAAAGGAGCCCAGATCCCTTTAAGGGAGCCTCCAAGAACAGCCGAGGTCTCAGTCTGGTGTCGGAGTTCGATGCGGACCTCCACGAGGAGGCGCGATCGAAGCGAAAGCGTTCATACGGGGAGCACAGAGCCTTAGAACGTTTAGGGCTTAGGGTTTAGGGTTATAGGTTTATAGATTAGGTAGGCCTTTGGGACATTTGGCACAGAGCCCAGCATTTTTTGCAAGGTATTTGTAGTATTTGTGTGTGTGTGTATATATATATCTGTATATATGTAGGGTTTTGGTTCTACTTATCTAGGTAACTAGGCCTTTGGGACATTTTAGATTTTCCCTTATTGGGCTTAATAGGACCCTATTTAGGAATATTTTCAGATGCTTTCAAAGGGCCCACCTAGGAGCTGTGCTCGACGATGTCAGCCAGCGAGTGGCCTTCGGAGCTACAGCAACACAAATTTGGAGTGGAAGCTCGGTAAATTTCTGGTCGGTGGCTATCTGCCGGACATTAGCTGGCTCGCTTGAGAGGCTAGAAGATCACAAGTACGTGGCGCAGATTCTGCGAGAGCAGCCCCTACGCTCTTCCGAGGATCTTGCGCTGCACGGCAGGAACTGGACCTTCATTTTTAACAAGGCCCATGCTGCAACGGCGGAGCTGCACTCTTTGCATCATGCCCTCTGGGCGTGCTTCGGCGTCTCAGGAGACTTCAACGTCTACCTGACTCCACCCGATTCGCAGGGTCTGGCACCACATGCTGATCGACATGACGTCTTCGTGGCTCAGCAACAAGGAGAGAAGACTTGGACGCTCCTAGAACCTGACAAAGTGAGGGTGATGGAGAACGTCACGCTGCTGCCGGGAGATGTTCTGTATTTGCCCCAAGGGGTTCCTCACTATGCTCGAAGCGCCGGTCAGGAATCCTCCCTGCACGTCACGATGAGCGTCTACAGAGGGCACTTTACCTTTGCTGGCCTTTTGGCTGCCTGGCTAGAGGTCAGGCCTTCCCCACAGTGACATATACGTACATACACACCTATGTATTGTAGATCGTATGTATAATCACATATATATATATATATATATATACACACACATATGGGATATGCTGTGTTTGGACACGCATACATACCCTAGACCCTAAACCCCCAAAAGCCCTGAAGGTACAGGACTCCGACCCACCCGAGCTTTTCGACCTTTCCCTGGCCAACCGCATCGACGCCACGCAGACTCGGCTGACGGAGCAGGGTCTTGAGGCTCTCTTTGGGATGGGTTTTGATAGGGCTGAAAGGTTCCTCAAAGGGTTCTCCCTAAAAGAGTTTGGGGGGTTTGATAGGGGTTTAGGGTTCCTTGAAGGGTTCTCCCTATATGAAGTTGTGGGGGGGGGGGGGGGGTGATAGGGGTTTAGGGTTCCTTAGCGGGTTCTCCCTGTAAGAGTTGGAAAAGGTTCTGAAGAGTTGCAGGCTCTACCTATAGTCTCCATTGCAGTTCCTTTTTTGGGTTATCCAGTTTTATGGTTAGGATCCTAAAATAGAGATTTTGGTTAACCAAACAAAGGAACTACAATGGAGAGTATACCCTAAACCCTAAACCCCTAAACCCTAAACCCTAAACCTATAGGTCTGGTTTAAGGGTTCTTGGTGTTTGGGGACTTGCGGGTTCAGGCCTTGAGATTCCCTCTGAGGGTTTCTCCATAACATAGACCCTACTTGGAGGGGCAGGGGACGTAGTAAGTAGGTTATAAGTAGGGTTATAATTGGGGGTAACTCCATTTAGGGTACTTAAACTTATAATAACTCTACTTACCAAGTCCCCTGCCCCTACAAGAAAGATACCTTCCGAAGAGTTTTCGGGTGGATGGTTTTGGGGTTTTTGAGGTTTCGAGGCTTTGAGGCTCTCCTTAGGCTTTTCTTTGAGGGATTGAGGGTTTTGGGTTGTTGAGGTCAGGAGGGCCTGCGAGCTTAAGGGTTTACAAGTCCTGTGGGCTTACTTTGGGGGTTTCAAAACCCTAAACCTTAAGTAAGTTTAAAGCTTGAACCCTCAGCCCTAAACCAATTTGCCTTCTTGTTCCTTTAAGGTTTTTGTAGGAGGGAAAGGCTTCAGCTTTCTAGGTCCTGGTGGCTTAAGGCTTTATAGGGTTTAGGGCTCACTTTGAAGGTGCTATAATATTTACATCTTGAAAGCCTGAACCCGGAGACCTACTCTTCAGGAAGCCAATGAGCCCTTGCCGCCTTCTTTCTGGCCAATGCTTCGAGCTTTGGATGACAAGGACTTCCCGAACGGAGCTGCAGAGGCAGCAGACCAAACCCTGCCTTAGTAGGTTTAGGGTTTTGGGTTTTGCATGGAGGCGGTTTGAGATTGGCTTGGGAGCTGTTATGTGGCCTTGACAATTTTAATAGCGATTCGAGGTATTATGATTATTACGAACGGAGCTGCAAAGGCGCACCTAAACCTCATACCGCCTTTACCCTTCTTATCTAGCTTAGTGCAGTTGGAAAAGGTCCCGCCAAAACTAAAGTAAAAGAATTCTCGAGCTTGATTCAAGCCTCCAGAGGCTGCCGTAGCCGAAGCGCAGCTCCTGGCAGCGCAGCTGGCCGGGCGGCTGCGCAGGAAAAGCGAGGCCAATAAGGGTTCAGCTGGGGGTTAAAGGGATCTATAGGGTTTAGGGTTTCGGGTTCCTTTAAAGGGATCTATAGGGGTTTGAGGTTTAATTAGAGTTCAGGGAGGGTAAAGCGATGCCGTTCATATACTTCCTCAAAGCGACAATTCTGGATTGTGTCAAAGTGGTCTTTACTAGCCAGTGTCCCTTGGGGGCCTAGATGCAAGGGTTTTGAACTCCCTCGAGGGAGGGCTGTAGGGTGCTACAGGATGTTTACAGAGTTTGAAGAGCGTTGGGGGTTTGGGGTTTCTGTATGAACTTTAGTAAGGGCTCCTGAAAGGAGTCAATGAAGGACTGATTCCTTAAGGTTAAAAGGGTTAGGTGTGCATTTGGTGGTTGTCAAAATTAGGATCCCTTTTGGGGTCCCTAATACCTAATCTTTAGGGTACCCCAAAAGGGACCTTAATTTTGACAACCACCCCTTTAAGTTCAGGAGAGCGAGGCCCGGTCAAAGCCGAAATTCTGTGCAGGGATTTACGGATGTAAAGGGTCATGAGGGTTGAGGAATGAAGGGCTTAGGGTTTAACAGGTTTGTTGGAACCCGTGGGGTTTTGAAAGGGTGCTGATAGGTGTTGTATGGATGGTTGAACACATGGTTCTGCGCCCTTCTTCTGCCCCCCCAAAAAACCCGATCCCTGTGAGGCTTTAAGTGCGGGTGGGTGAGAGTGTAGAGACTGGCACCTTACCTCGGCTCTCAAAAGCCAAATAAGATCCGGCACCCCCAAAAAGCTTAAGCTCATACGCCCTACGGCCAACAGCAATGTTAGGCCACAAAATCTCGAATAAACAGAAAAGGCAAGAACAGCAAAACTAATCCTGAAGACTCAACCTTCATGTTAAGAACGTTGCAGTCAAGATAGAAGTCGTTGCAACAGACTCTTGAACCCCAAGCCTTAAACTCTAACACCAGGTGGATGATGCTTCGCTAGTCGGAAGATTAGAGGTACTTGGAGAACGAGCCTGGGCTTTGGAACTACTCGGGTCGAGGCTTCACTACTTGATTGGTGTAGGGCTTTGGTTGGAAATCCAGAGTGAAGTTATGAATATTGCAGATGAGCGCAGAAGCCATTACAGGCACAGTTGTGTTTCTGATCGGCCTTTTCTTTGAGGCTTCCGAAAGCCTCCACGAATTTACCGCTCTACATAGACGCTTGGACGTTTAGGGTTTAGGATTTACTTGGAGGGGCAGGGGACTTAGTCAGTAGTTTTTAAGTAGAGTGATAAGTACCCTAAATGGAGTTACCCCAATTATAGCCCTACTTATAACCTACTTACTAAGTCCCCTGCCCCTCCAAGTACGGTTTTGGTAGCCTGGGGTTTAGGGTGCTACAGCTAGGCAGTATCAGGGCTTTGCTGCCGCCCGTCTTTCGGATCCAGGTTGCCCATAGGATTGCTAGGATGCCCGGTAGTACCCTTATTCCCGTTTTGTAGTCCTGGGTTCCTTATAAAGTTACCAAATACCAAAAAGGGAGCCCTTTTGATATGTAGGTTGTTGAGCATCCTAGATTGTAGGTCGATAGTAATGAGAGACTAGAGGCTGTCGGTACTTGTGGAACCGGGTCGTTAACGGCCCCAGCTCCCGAAAACAACACTCGGAAGTAACCAAGCCCCAATGTAAAGGCCAACGCCATGAACAGTTTTTTTAGGCCCCCCCCCAAATCAAGAGCTCAATGCCCTCAAATCCGTAAATCTAAAGCGCTCAAATCCCCCAAACCCTCACCACCAACCACTAAACCCTAAACTTTATAGATCCCTACCCTAAACCCTAAACCGATAGAACCGTTATGGATCCCTGTAAAGGAACCTCTATAGAACCCTAAACAACCCACATGCCCTTCGTGTGTTGCCCAGGAGTGGACGACCAGCGGCTCCGGTCCTTCCTTGAAGCTCTGCCCACGATTCTATACTTGGAGGGTCGGGGGACTTAGTAAGTAGGTAGGAAGTAGACTTATAAGTACCCGAAAAGGGACCCTAATTGGGGTTATGGTACTTATAAGTCCTTAAAATAACCAGTTACTGAGTCCAAGCCCTCCAAGTAGTCTCCTTAGGGATTATCGGAGACTTCGGGCTCCTTTAAGGAGACTTAGGGCTCCTTTTCTACCGTCTCCTTAGGAAGTACTTTTAAATTCTTGTTCAGATAAAACCCAAGACAATACTAAAGGACTAAATTTATAATGGTGCTAAGGGTGGTATAGGATTGGCTTGCACCTGGTAGGGTTTAGGGGTTTAGGGGAGAGGGGTTAGGGTTTTAGGGTCTAGGGCTTAGGGTTGGTGCTGTAGGGAGCTGAATACTTACCAACACTATTTCGGGGGTTCCGTTTAAGGGCTACAAGCCCTATTTTAATAAATAATTATCAAGGCCCTGATATTACGGCAAAGGGCTAGCTTTTGTAGAGATTTAGCCGGGACGGTCCGGGATCTAGGGTGTTCGAATTGAAGAGTTTCGGGCTTTCCTTCTTAGGGGTGGCGGATTTCAGAGTTTGAGCCAGCAAGGCTTTCGGCATGAGGATTAGGAGTCCCGCGTCTTTAACTTTAAGGTCTTATTCTAGGGCTTTGGGACGGGATCTTAGGGGTGATTTCCGGCTGGGCATTCGGGGCCTTCTGCAGAGAAGTCCATCTTTGATAGAGGCGGGTTCTGTCTGTTAGCAGCTGCCAAGCTCGTCAGGTGTAAGATGGGTCCCTGGCTCACCTTATAAATAGGTGCCCAGCTGTGGTGCCGAGCTTGGCACAGTGTATAGCCCAATGTGGAGCAGGAGAGCCCAGTATAACGTAATGTACTCCAGGGTAGCATGTTGCAGGATGATCTGCGCGAACAGAAGAGTGATCATCGAAGTCAGACCCCGAAGCTCCCAAACACCTAAACCCTAAACCCCGGGCTAAACCCTGATCCCTAAACCCTAAACCTTAACCCTAAACCCTAGACTCCCCAGACCTTCAAAAGCTTCAAACCCTGATCCCTAAACGTCGCCTTAAACCGAAATAAACCCTCGAGCCAGAAGCCCGACTTGCCAAAGACCTCCTTTGTTTTAACTAACCTAAGAGAAAAATAGAAATAGTATTTTTGTTATGGTTCTAAGGGGGGGGTATAGTTAAAACGGAAGCCCTCTCAAGCCAACACCCTTACAAAACCTTACAAGGCCTTGAAAAATCACGCCCGATGCCCCAAACACTTGCCTCAACCCTAAGCCCTACACCCTAAACCCCAAAGCAAACTTACGCCCCTAAGCCTAAACCCTAAACCCCAAAACAAAGCCTACGCCCCCAAACACTTTGGATGCTGCCAAGGAAGGGCTCTTTGCCGCTCGCGAGCTCCGGTGGATCCTCAGCGGGTAATACTAATGAGGTGAAACTCTGGCTAAGAAGCCTTTCGAATTTTAGAGGGTCCTATCACATCCTCTGGAAGCCTTCGAGCCACACCTATCCTAAGCACAAATGCACACCCCCCAACTGCAGCTTCAGCAGCAAGCTTAAGCGTATACTCACTCTTTGGTTCGAGGATGCCTTGTTTACACACACACACACACACACCGTCCTCCGCCTCCCTAAAGCACCAGCTATCGATCTAGATCTGTAAAAGTATATCATATTTTTATGCGTATATATAGATATATATATATATATATATATATGTATGTGTATATATATATATATATATATATGTGTATATGCACAAATACTATATCGTATTATACAAATATATATCTATATATTTGTTTATGTATGCGCTGTATGTATATGTATAAGAGCACAAAGTAAAGGAACCCTTGTAGTAGCCATATAGAACCCCTTTAGCACCCTTAGGAAGCGCGCACCCTCCAAAACAATAATATACAGAATCCCTTGAACGGAACCGGTACAGGAACCCCTAAATACTGATAGCATCCCTACCAGGATGCCCAGTAATACCCTTGTTGCCTTTTTGTAGTCCTAGGTTGCATATAAAGTTACCCAAAACCCTGAAGACATCCGAGGATCAAGCACTATAGGCTCTATGGGCCAAAAATCCTCCAAGGGGCTGAAGCCACTTATCTGAGTGGTAGGGGTTTTGGAGTTCTTTTAAAGGGATCCATAAGGGTTCCTTCAATGGGATTTATAAGGGTTCTATAGAGGGGTTTTGGGTTAAGGGATTAGGGTTTAGAGGTTCGGGAGGTTATAGTCCAGGGTGCAGTGTTTCGGGCTTATAATAATAGCGATTGTCATTTGCGTTTCTGTATGGGATCGACAGGTGTTCGTCGGGTTTGGGGTTCGGAATTTACAGACTGTTACAGAGGAAGACGTGTATAGGGTGGCTCAGGGCTTACCGAATTGCATTACTGCGAGCGTCAACCGCACAGTGCTGAGAAGCTCAGGACGAAAACCCCGAAGACTTAAGGCAAGGTCTAAAGCTTCAATGGCTTTAAAACTCCGAAACTCTGTAAGCCTTAATCCTACCTAAAAACTAAACAACCTACGTTTTCACTTTCTGCTGAACCTCATTTTGGTTTCTTTATCTCCGAAAATATAGGTTCTTAGGGGGGCCAAGGTAAGCCCTGAATCATTCAGAAGCCCAACCCCAAATAGGAGTTTCCGAAACCAAGGGGCACCTTATGTTGAGGTCCCCATAATAAGGATCGCTTGATACGGTTGATGATAGGAATCCTATAAGAGCACCTTGAAGAGGCTCCTTTAAGGGATCTATAAGGGGTTTAGGGTTTAGAGTTTAGGGAAATACTTACCCAGAGTAAGGAATACACCGTAATTCCCATGGTTTAGGCTCCTTAAGGTTTTGCAGGATTTATGTCATCAACCGTAGAACCCTTACAGTTTGGGGTTTAGGACCTTTAAGTTTAGGGCTTAGCGACTTTGCGATTTCGGGTTAAGTCTTCTAGGACCCTTCTAGAATGCTTGAAATTGAAAGAACTCCTGAACAGAAGCCGCTGGGGAATCCTGGCAGTTGAACGCTAATATAGGGGTCTTAAAACACTACCTATACTATTTTGAAAACCTCCTTTTCATAATTATAGTATAATGGGCCCAAAACCCTATTCTAATTCTAACTATTAAGACCCCTACTTGAAGGCTCATGGGACTTAGTAAGTAAGGTTATAAGTAGGTTATAATTAGGATAATCCCACTTAGGGGACTTATAACCACAATTATAACCTGCTTTCTAAGTCCCATGATCCTCCAAGTATATTAGGTGTCGATTCTGCCGGCCGATGCCCTCCTTCGGCGCGCGGCGGATGCAGCTGCGATGAAAACCCGAGGTGGAGATCTACTCCTCAATGGTTTCTTGGGTTCTTTCAAAGGGATCTATAGGGTTCCTTAAAGGGATCTATGGGCCTAGGGATCCAAGGACAAGGGGTCCTTTTAAAGGGATCTATAAGGGTTCCTGTAAAGGGTGCTATAAAGGGGTTTAGGGTTTCAGGCTTAATGGTTTCTAGGTTGGAACTTCTGGACTTGTGCTTCTGGGTTTCTATTACAACAGAACCGACAGGAAAAGAAATACATGCAAAGCCCTAGAGAAGAAACCCCCACTATGTCACTGCACAGCCTGGGTAAAACCCTCAACCCTAAACTCCTAAACCCTAAACTCTAAATCCTCAACCCTACACCCTAAACCCTAAACTCCTAAACCCGGAACCCTACACCCTCAACCCTAAACCCTGAACGTTAAACTCTGAACCCTACTGAACAGCCCAGGCTTCGTTATCTCAGGACTCCCGCAGGAGACGGAGGCTGCTGTGCGCTTCTGCCTCGGTCGGTGTCTTGGTGGATCCAGGGTTTAGGGTATTCGTTATGTTGGGCTCAGGGTTTGTAGTTGAGGGTTTAACGGTATTCGTTAAGTTAGGGGTTGGGGTTTGTAGTTTAGGCTTTAAGCGCACTCGCCATGCTGGGCTTGTAATTTAAGGGTTTGTAGTTTAGGGTTTAAGCGTCTTCGTCATGATGGTATTTGGTTTTGGGGTTTAGGGCTTGTAGTTTAGGGTTTGGGTAAGGCGTTTCTAGAAAGGTTCACAGGATGCCTTGGGGTTGTTGGAAGGGTACTACTTGGAGGGTCGGGGGACTTAGTAAGTAGTTGTTTGATGGAGTTATATGAACCATACGCCCAGTTAGGATGCCATTTAGGGTAGTTACTCAAACGTCTACTTATTACCTACTTACTAGGTCCCCCAACCCTCCAAGTATGGGACTTGTTCAGAAACGGCAAGCCAGAATGGGAATGGCTACCTTGGAATTGGAACAGAAGTGACGTTTTCGAGCATTCTCTGATCAACCCTAAGCCCCATATCAATTGCGCCAAGGTACACTGGCTCAGCTGGACAGCCTTTTCAGCTGAAGGTACCTTGCCACTTATTATCAGTTTTCTTGGGTCTTTCCATCGGTTAAAGCCCGACAAGCAACATCCATGTCCGTCTTTTTGAGGAACTGCAACCTTATCTCTATGAAGCTCGTTCAAACACCTATGCTATCCTATGAAATCCGAGTAAACAGCAGGTGGAGACACCAAGCCAAGGAAGTACCCTACAAAAGACCCTTAGCGCTAAACCTACCCCATGGAAAAAGAAAGTCAGCCTTCGTGAGAGGCCATAAAATGCCGTAAAATCACAGAAAGTCCCAATCCTAACACAATGCTGTAAGCTCGGGTCAAAAGCATTAATGTCGCAGTTCTGTATTTGTCAACATACACTTCCTACTTAAAAAGCCGAGACAGATCCAAACTAAGGAAATCCCCGGCCCGCAAGACGTAGCCGAATCGATAGCTCGGCTCCTCCTCCAGTTCGATGGCTTGGAATATATGGGAGCTCCAGAAAACTACGGCTGATGATGTAAAATCTAGGGTTCCTTTAAGGGGATCTATAAGGGTAACTACGTTTAAGGGGTCCCTTTAAGGGATCTAAAGGATTTTCGGGTTTTGGGTTGGGGACCCATAATAGGCGTCCTATAAAAAGGTTCCACAAGAGGATTTGCAGGGTCGCTGTTTTTGTATATGGTGCAATTATCGTGCTCAGGGTTTTACGGTGCACGACCTACTATAATGGGTTCAACCGTAGTGTCCCCCCCGTTTTCTGCAACTCCCACGTGCAGACGCGTTGGTTTTCACAAGTTCAACATGGGAGTTTCCGAAGATTTGGGGGTACCTTATTTGGGGATCCTTATAATACGGATCCTACTATTTAGGTTACTATATGTGCGTCCCCTTTTTTTGGAAACTCCCATGTGACGTCATGCCTGGACCCTCGGTACTTAAAGGATCATAGGACTTAGTAACTGGGGTGATGATTAGGGTAACTATACTTATAACCCCACTTAAGGTACTTATAACCTTACTTACTATGTCCTACGATCCTCCAAGTAGACCCTAAACCTTAAACCCTATAGATCCCTTTAAGGAACCCTATAGATCCCTTTGAGGATCCTCCAAGTAACGTCGAAGGCCCCCTTTGACCCTCAACCCTGCGCTCCTCCATCCTTCGAATCCTGAGTCCTAAACCCCAAGCCCCTAAACCCTACAACCAAAGCCTTAAACCCTAAACTCCTAAACCCGACAACCTAAGCCCTAAACCCTAAAACCTAAACCCTAATCCACAAACCTTAAACCTCCTTTACCTTAAACCCTAAACCCCTACACCCTAAACCTGAAAAGGCCTAGAGGAAGGAACCCTCGGTCAGCAAGTGTGAGATTGTCTGGGAAAGCGTGTGTACGTGGATCCGAAGACCTCTGCGGTTGATGCCCCCCGCTGGTGGTGGTGCTGGTGTTGGTGGTGGTGGTGGTGCTGGCAGCAGTACGTAGTAGCATGAGTAGTAGCAGTAGTAGTAGTAGTAGTAGCAGCCGCAGCAGCAGCTGCGCTCACTTTCTGCGCTCACAGAGCCAAGCAAAAGACGATTGTGGTCTGCTTGCTTGATTTAGAGTTGTTGGGTTTGGAGTCTTGTGATGTTTTAGTATATATCGAGTTGTTTCCTAAGAGCCTTCATAATTGCGTTCTAGGTTTGCTTATGGTTTGAGTTTAAAGGTTGTTGGATTGTCGTGGGTGCAGGGTTATTAGGGTTTCGATCTTATTTAGGGTCCAGGGTAGATGCAGTAGAAGCAAGCCAGTTGGAACGTTGGTTTCCCCCCAAGCCTGAACCTACCTGTAGGCTCATACCCTACCCCTTTTCAGGGTAGCTACTTTTCTGTAAACCAGGTCTTAACCATAGAACTAATAAACAGGGGTAGGGTATGAGCCTCTATAGGTAGAAAAAGAAGGAAAACCGTGTAGATCATCCGATCTCCACGTCCAAGTTCTTCGGCCTTCCTCCCACAAGCTTTACAGAAATATGGGGGGGGTTCCGAAAATTAGGGTACCTTATTTTGGGGTCCGTGAATAGGATCCTACCATTTAAGGTGCTATATTAGGGTCCCCTGTTTTAGGAAACTCCCACACTGACGATGTTCTGCTAGTAGCCGCTTCCTTGTACATAAACTGGGAGAACATCACAATATCAGCAGCAGCAGCATCATCATGAATCATGATCAATACCACTGTCATAAACAGGTTTAACCAATTAGCAATTGTACGGTTGATGATATAAATCCTGCATTACCTTAAAGGACCCTAAATTATGGGATTGATGGTATATTCCGTATTATGGCTTATTATGGGTAATGCAGGATTTGTATCATCAACCGTAGGAATTCACGCAAGTTTCGCATGCGGAGAAGTCAGGCACAGACGCTTTAACACCCTACTGCCCTCACGTTGAACCTCAAACGGTGGCCCAAACCCAAAACTGGAAACCCCAAACCTTGAACAAGGACACTTTACAGAAAACCCTTTAGACAGATGTAAACAAAGCTGAAAGTCATACAGACCCTCCCAAACTGTGAGCACGGGATAGACCCTAAACTTTCCCTAAGCTCCCAACCCCAAACCTGGCCAGGGTGCGTTCATGGGCTTACGAGCACATTGCGACCTTTCCCAGAGAGCCTAAGTCATCCTATAGTACTCTGGACATACCTAGAGAGAATTGGTTTTTGGGCTTTTGGGTTGTGTAGTGGGCCCTGCAATACTTCTTAAATCTCATAGGCTGTACTGAATATGCGTCATAAGAGCCTGCAAGCTTTCCCTGCTCTGCAGACACCTTAATCATGACAAGAAGGGATGGCTGCATACAGGTGCCGGAGTCGTCGCCGTTGAAAGATCGGTGAGAGGAGGTGTCGGCGGCTCAGAGTTCTACGGCTTTGGGTTTCGGGCGTTCTACGGAGGCTGCGCGACCGTTGCATTCGGGTATCGGCAATACAGGGGCCCAAATAATGACCATTACTATTTTGCAGGTTCTTGATGATAACTATAGTATAGTGGGCCCCAAAACCCTAGTCTAATTATGAAGGTCCCTATAGTACAGGCTTTGTGCTTTCCGGAAATTCATCTGTCGCAGGTGTCCGGCCCGAGCTCCCCTCGCGAATGCGAGGTTTTCGGAGCGATGCCATGGCCGCGGTTTCCGTCACGAACGACCTGCAAGCAGCCATGGAAGTCAAATTTCGGAGTGACTTAGTCCTAGTAGTCGAGTAGGTAACCTTTAACATTTTTCGCTAGTATAGCCCCTGTATAGTTAATCCCTATATATCCAAAAAGGTTAACCTTTAGTTCCCCATGATGCCCCACAAGTAGCTAGTAGCTGACTAGGTAGCCTTTAACCTTTTGGGGCTCCGACAAATCCTACCATGATTGGGAAAGGTTAAGCTTTTTGGGGGCTAGGGTGTTCAGCTCCTGAGGTGAGGAGTGGAAGGTGGTGTATCCCAAGATGTCCTGCTCTGTGGAAGCTTCGGAGGCCTTGATCCAGGTTCGGCTGCGCGAAAGCCCGGAGGTGACGGGCAGCTGCAATGCTTCAGGAGGCGCATCCTTGCAAGTTTCCGTGGACTTCGGAGCTTTTTCACAACGGTGCAAAGGCCGCGACCGAGCCGAGGCACGAGAGCTGGCCCGTGAAGGAAAGAGAAGAGAAGAAGCCCAGCAGCGGACGAATGCTATGATCCATGAAGCCGCTACCAAGATACGGAATCAAGAAGCATGGTATGTAGTTAGACGAATCGGAATTGTTTCAGGCCTCCCATTAGCCCTCATCCTTCTTTGCGTGGCCATCCCACCCGAGAGCGCCGTTGCAGCCGCACTGCTGGCCAGTGCCACCGTGCCTCTGTGCTGCTGTATCAGCCTTCTGGGCGTTTATGCTGGCAACTAGGTAGGCCTTTTGGAAATTTTGCGAATTTCTCTTATTGCACTTAAGATTTTTGTTTATGAAATGTTGTTCTGATTTTCAGGGCCAACCTAGGAAAAGATGAAGACACCGATTTCCGACTTGGAAAGTATCGATTCTGCACGCGTGTTGGCCTTCGGCTAGTGGGTCTCCTCGCTCTGCTGGCCTTCTCCGCCACTGGGCTTCGGAGTATGATACTTTAATACTTTGTGGGACCTGTTACTTACCGGGAACCTATATGAACTATAAGTCTATACTGTTTTCTCCAAGGTTACTCTAAAGCCCAGGCCATGACGGCCCAACATGCCCTGGAAGGATACTGGTGGACCGCCACTATCATTTGGCCTGTGGGATGTTCCTGGGTTCTTGTTAAGGGTTGAATTAGGTTACCAGAATTAGGAAACCATGTTATTTACTGTAGATCCCTACTATGGTAACTTAAATCAAATTCCTTAACGAGAACCTAGGTTGTGGGATCTTTTGTTTCTGGGATGGCTACACCAATTCAATGGACTTGGGCGCTGGGCAGCAGCAAATCAAGGATCTTGAGCTGAGAGCAGCCGAAACCAACGTCAGTAACTGGGCTCTTGTTGAGGAATTCCCATAGTAAGGATCTATAGAGAATAATAAGATATTAACAATCATAATACCTTATTGAGGTAAGGAACTCAATTTAAGTTACCATAGTAGGGATCTTTAGTAAATAATATGGTTGCCTTATTAAATATCCTAAGTTAAATCCCTTAACAAGCACCTAGGCAACCGAACGATCCGATTCGAAGGCTCGGTGATCAGCTGGCCGCGCGGCCGCCCTTGCGTGGCCAGCTGGCCGGGGAAGTACGCAGGGGCCTGGGAGTCACTGGTCTCCCAGAGCCGCGACGGCCAGGTGAGTGCCGCGGTCGTCTTCCTCCCGGAGGGCACGGACGACTTTGGCAAGTGCGACAGCATCCCTGAAGATGAGGGCTTGCCCGGCAGCTGCTGGTGCACACCGCTCTACGGGGAGCGGAAGCCGTGGGGCTGCAGGTGGTTTACCAAATGGAAGGAAAACATCGAGGTCGCAGTCGCAAGCGGTGCACAGCTGGAGGTCTACTTCTTTCAAGGCCAGGTGGGCCACGGCAAAGTGGAGAGCTTCGAATCTGCAGGCGAGGGCAACTTGCGGAGAGAGAAGGTGAACCAAAAGCAGAAAGAGTTCGAGCAGTCTCCACAATTCCAGCAAGCGCTGGAGGCAGGCCTCGGCAATCTCTCCCAGGAGCCGCGTGGCGACGGATCCTCCCAGTATAGCCGAGAAGTGCGACGTTTGTTCCTGGCCTCCCTCCCAGAAGCAGAGCGCGAGTTTATCACGGTTTCAGAAGGCTTGGGCAACTCCCAAAAAGCCGAAGTGGCTTGGCTGGAAAAGCAGGGCTACCAGTACTGGGCCGTGGACGTCGCCACCTGGCTCCCCGGAGAAGGAGTCGAGTTTTGCGTCCCAAGTTCTTCGAAGCCACAAGCGTGTGGTCCACAGGATGACTGCCCTTCAGTTTGTGTTCCCATCGATCCGGCTTGCTAGAGATTTGTATAGCGACCGTGGCCTCCACAATTGCACAAGAAAAGCACAGAGGACTCCGACCTACTTCCATTCCGCACGTGCCGAGGGCTCATGTGCCACTGGCTGACTGGCCTTTCACCCTGGCGCCGTCTTCGAGTTTTAAGGAGATGGCGCAACCCGAGCTACGACCAGCGCAGACGAATCTGCGAACAAGAGTTGCATGAGAATGACCGGGTTCTTGCAGTATTGTAGTCTCCGAGCCCTGAAGCCTACAGGCCAACAACCTTAAACCCAAAACCTTGAACCGGAACCCCTAAACCCTTAAACTGCAACCCTAACCTAGGATGCCCAGTAGTACCTTTATTCCCTTTTTGTAGTCCTAGGTTCCTTATAGAAGTTACCCAACACCAACAAGGGAGCCCTTTTTATTCCTAGGTTGTTGGGCATCCTAGTCACCCTAGTCTCGGGCTGATTTTAACGGGTTTAGGGTTCAGGGTTTAGGGTCTAGGGTTTAGGGTTTAGAGTTGCCGAGCACTGACCGATTTCGCTTTCAGACGACTACCTGGGGCCCGACAGCTCAAAGCTGTCCTAGGTATACCCATAGTATCCATTGTAGTTCCTTTTGGGGGTTAACCAGTTTTATGGTTCGGATCCTCTTATATAGGCTTTGGTTAACCACAAAATGGAACTACAACGGCGACTATAGGTAGGTAGTATGAGGGAGAGCCCTTAAAAGGCGGGCCCTGCTTAACCCGACTTATGGCTCTCTGAAAAGGAACCTTCTTGAGAGGGTCTATATCCCCTCATCTTGACTCCGAAACAGGCGGCTTTGCCTTACTTGCTAGAATACCTTAGAATACTATTTTCAAGGGGTTCCTCATTGTAGTTCGAGTACTTGTAGTATCATAGGCTTCCCAATACTGTTCCTTAGAGGTTCCGTATTATGGCTCTAGCGAATACACCCAAGATCGTATCCTACTGATTAGACTTTATAATGGGCCTAGGGGTTCTGGAGGTTACAGGGTTTAGGGTTTGGGAGTTTAGGGGTTTGGGCAGCGAGTTCGGTTGTTTTTTGGATGGAGGGTTTTGGGGCTTTGGGTTCAATTCAAGTCTTTATCCTCGTAACGTCTACAGTTCCTTGTCCGATGACAAACATGCTAGAGTTTGTGTACCCCGACACATTGAGGCCCCTATATCCCAAACCTAAACCCTAAACCCTATTGTAATCATTAAGGCCCCTAAGTGAAGTTATTCGGCATTTCATACTTTTTCCCCTTGGGCAGATGAATATAGGAACCTGATGAAGCAACCTTGGCTCTTTAGTAGGGTTCCCTATATATGAATCCTAATATATTGGGGTTGTAGGGCCAGGGTTTCTTAATCAGGTTCCTACATTAAACCCTAAAGCATCCTAAAGCCCTACACCCTGGCCCCTAAGCCTTAGCTCCTAAAACTGCTAAGCCCTGAAGCCTCTAGCTCCTTAAGCTCTGTTAGCCATAAGCCCTGAAGCCCGTAAAGCCTTAAACCCTAAACCCCCCCCCTTCCCCAAAAAAACTAATCTAGGGGCCTTTGTAGTCACCTATAGTGTTTTTTGGGGGCCCCTTATTATAATTATAGTAAAAATGGGCCCCCAAACCCTATTCTAATTACTAAGGCCCTAAACTCAAGAACCCTACTATAGATCCCTTATGGACCCTTTTTTAGGACCCCTTTAAGCGACCGAGTTTGTGTGCAAAGCGTTCCGTGGCCCAGGAGCTGTCGACCCAAGCGCAGAGTCGGTTTGCGTCGCTTGCGAAGTGGCCGAAGGCGATTGTTGTGAGCCTTATTCTACAAAGTACCAGACTCCATTATATATATATATATATATATGTATATATGTATATGTATATTTATAATTTATATGCATTTATATATATATATATATATATATATACACACTGTATACTGTGCTCTACTCTGCTATGCCAAACTATACTAGACGATAAACACTCGACTATAGACTACACAGACTGGACGAGCGACTATACTATACTGTACTAGTACGTTGCTATACGACACTATACACCATAGTATTACTACACCATACCAGACTGGACTCTCCAATCCTAATCCTGTCCGATCCTATACTATCCTACCTATCCTACCTACCCACCTACCTATGTACGGTACGAATGTGCTATAGTACGCTAGAGGATGGTATAGACCTATTTTGGAATTCGGACTTTGGTTTTGGGAAGTTTAGGGTTTAGGAGCGTGGGGAGCTTTTCTTGACCACTTCAATGCTCTAGCGATGCTGCAGGAGTTTTCAAGTTTTGGTATGCCCAGGACGACTTTTAAATCAAGGGTTTATCGAGGCAGTTTTCGGTTCCAGAAGACTCTCCACACGTCCCTGAACCCCGCTGAGGAAGATCACAGGTTTGGAGCTCGTACAAAGCACAGCCAAGTAATATACGGGCCTGAATAGTTAGAATAGGGTTTTGGGGTATATCATATTACACTGTAACTGTAGTAAGGTATCCCAAAATGGTATAGGTAATCAAATTTACTAGGGCCTACATTAGAGCAGCCGCAGCCCCAAGAATCTCTGACGGTGCCGAACTGCCAGGCATAACTTGCAGAAGAGGGGGGTGGAGGCTCGGGCGGTAGTTCCGGCTTCGCGATCCTAACGTGCACGGTTTGGGGACGCGGTTCCTGAAGCATTACTTGGTAGTAGGCTAGGTAGCCTTTAACCTTTGTGGGCCACTGTAATCCCTAGCACCCCGAAGGCTAACCTTTCGTTCCCTAGGAAAAGTCTGAAGGGAAGATATTGAGCTCACGATGCTTTCAGGAAGACCAGTTACTCAAGTAGCACACTGAATCTTGCTGTTCCCACACATATCCGGACGCTTGAAGGGCTATGTAGGGTTATTATGGGGCACCAACATGCACAAAGAAGACGAGTCCCTTCTGTGAGGAAAGCACCTGAGATTACCTTGGGCTTAGGGTTTAGGGTCTTACGGTTTAAGGCCAAAGTTTAGGGCGTTAGCTTTTACGCAGGGTGGTTTGGGCTTCTGGTCATGACTTAAGGCCCTTCGTAACCTTGTCAGCCTCATCAAAGCATCTGGTTCGGGGGTGGAGTGCCCTTCCTGGGATGTTTGCAGAGAGGTGCCGGAGCATTCGGCGCTGAAAGATCGGTGAGAAGAAGGCCTCGGGTGTTCAAACTAAGCTTCAAGCGGGGTTTGTGGCTTGTTAAATATATGGTTTCGGGTTTAGGGCTTTTAGGCTGAGAATGGTTGAGACTTTTTCGATGGTGCATGATCCATGCATTCGGAAACGCGAACGGTTTCTTCAGTTTTTCCTTGGCACGTAGTTCGAGCCCCTGCCATCGCGGAGCTACTACTACTACTTCACCATTACCACTGCCACTACCACTACCATTACCACTAGTATTGTTATGATTACTACTACTACTATTACTACCACCTGCTGCAACTTTGAGTATTCTGGCGGCCGGCCCGAGCTCCCCTCGCAAAGGCGACGGTGTCCGGAGCGCGTAAGGCCATGGCCACGGCGTCCGTCACGAACGACCTCCAGACACCCGTTGAGGTGGCTTTTCATGGCGACTGGTGTGTCATATATCCCCAGAAGTCCTGCGACGTCGGAGTGACGGAGGTGAGTGCTTTTTCGACTTCAAGTGGCCCCGAGTCTGAAGTGGAGGCCTTGATCCAGCTTCGCCTGCGCGAAAGCCCGGAGGTGAAGGGCAGCTGCGAGGCTGCAGGAGGCGCATCTTTGCAAGCTTCCGTGGACTTCGGAGCCTTTTCTCAACGGTGCAAAGGCCGCGACAGAGCCGAGGCACGGGAATTGGCCCGCGAGGCAAAGCGCCGCAAGGAGGCAGAGGAACGGATTGACACTATGATCGAAGAAGCCGCCACCAAGAAGCGAAACGAAAAGGCATGGCATACGTTGAAGTGTCTCGGGCCTTTCGTCGCAATCCTGTTAGCGCTCCTTCTCGTTTGCGCAGTCATTCCGCCCGAGAGCGACGTTGCGTCCATGCTGCTGGCCGGGGCAACAGTACCCTTGTGCTGCTGCATCACTTGGGCATTCAATATTCATACTTCGGTTGCAGGAGACGACCGCAGCACCTTCTTTTTGGGGAAGTATGAAGTCTTCTTCCGTCTTGCCTTCCTGTTTGCATGTCTCCTTGCTTTGCTGGCTTTGGGCGCTATGACGGCTCAGCACGCCTCACTAGGATACTATTGGACGCCATGGATAGTCGGGCTTTCGGTTTTTATTTTTGCCATGCTCTTCTGTTTGAATATCGTGTTTCCGGAGGAGCTGGACTCAGAACAGAAGAAAGAGTTGAAACGAGAGCTTAAGGAAGCCTGCTGCGAGATTAGCAACCGAACGATCCGATTCGAAGGCTCGGTGATCAGCTGGCCGCGTGGCCGCCCTTGCGTGGCCAGCTGGCCGGGGAAATACGCAGGGGCCTGGGAGTCACTGGTCTCTCAGAGCCGCGACGGCCAGGTGAGTGCCGCGGTCGTTTTCCTCCCGGAGGGCACGGACGACTTTGGCAAGTGCGACAGCATCCCTGAAGATGAGGGCTTGCCCGGCAGCTGCTGGTGCACACCGCTCTACGGGGAGCAGAAGCCGTGGGGCTGCAGGTGGTTTACCAAATGGAAGGAAAACATTGAGATCGCCGTCGCCAGCGGTGCGCAGCTGGAGGTCTACTTCTTCCAAAACCAGGTGGGCCACGGCAAAGTGGACAGCTTCGAATCTGCAGGCGAGGACAACCTGCGGAGGGAGAAGATAAACGAAAAACAGAAAGAGTTTGAGGAGTCTGCACAATTCCAGCAAGCGCTGGAGGCAGGCCTCGGCAATCTCTCCCAGGAGCCGCGTGGCGACGGATCCTCCCAGTATAGCCGAGAAGTGCGGCGTTTGTTCCTGGCCTCCCTCCCAGAAGCAGAGCGCCTATTTATCACAGCCTCAGAAGGGCTCGGAAACTCCCAAAAAGCAGAAGTGGCTTGGCTGGAAAAGAAGGGCTACGAGTACTGGGGGGTCGACGTCGCCACGTGGCTCCCGGGAGAGGGAGCGGAGATCTGTTTCAACGCATCTTCGAGGAAGAATCCTCGTGTGGATGGTCGACAAGATGACTTCCCTTCAATTTGTGTCCCCATCGGCCCGCCTTGTTAGAGGCTTCTGCGGTCATGTCCTGCAGACTTCGTCATGTCCCATCCCTAAGCATACCGATGACGATCAGATGCATCCCGCAACTTAGGAACCCTAAACCCTAAACCCTGCTACATGGCTAGTGCCGACTGGTGTTTCACCCTCACTGTCCGTGGGGGCTGAGGAGGTAAACTTTAACTTTGTGCGGCTTCCCTACTTTAGTCGAAAAGTTCATCGCTAAGCCCTAAACCCTAAAGCCTTTTCTGGGCCAGGCTACTCAGCCCCGAAGTATGCTTGAGCATCAAGATGATAGCACAGACCGAGCTTTCGAGAGCAGAATGATGAAGCTGCGAACAAGAGATGCATCAGAGTTACCCTAACCGTTTAGGGTTCATATAGGGTTTCGGGCTAAATCTTAAACCCCGAAAACCCTGAGCCAGCGGGTGGTTTTCCCTGATAGTTGTTGCAAGTTATCCAGATCCAAATGTTCATTGCTGAGGGTGAACCGTGAACTATGGGGCGTCACTAATTGGAAGCTGTAGTGTGGTAGCAGATGGTAGCAGAAACGATGACATCTCCATGCAGTACCATAAAATCCTAAACCACGTCCACGGCACACGCGAGATCACCTGTGGTAGTCAGAAGTAGGGAGTTCTCGAATTCTGACCTCGTGCATTGCCGAGCCGAGTTCGCGAAACCATAATTTTTCCCTTGTCTTCCCTATATGCCATTATTAACAAGAATATGCAGCCGGAAATAGTCTCCCGTTATGGTCACTATAAATGATTCCATAAAATACCCGCAGACCCCACGCCATAATTCAGGCGAAACCACCCCCTGTCAGCCAGCCAGACTGCGAATCACTCCAACCACCCTTTCGGAAGTTTAGGGAGTAAGGATCGTGGCTGGAAGTAGCTTCATGTTCTTCTCCAGACCAAGCCAATGAACATCAGGATCAACCTGGTTACCTGCCCTGGACCTTCAAACCCAAATCTCGACTTTGACATAGCTGGGTAACGCTTTACATCTTTATGGGTACTTAAACCCAATAAGGAATAAGAATGTACATGTTTAATCCTACCCCAACCATGATGAAGTAAACCTGCCTTTCAAAGCAAACGCGCTTAGTGCCTGCAGCGCCGCATCCATAAAGACTCTGAGGCCTTCCTCGACGCCGCCGGGCCTTAATAATTGGAATAGGGTTCCTTTAAACGGGTCTACAAGGGTTACTATAAGGGTACCACAGTATAGGGGCCTTAATAGTTAGAATAGGGTTTTGGGCCCATTATACTATAATTATAGGAAGGAACCCCGAAGTAGGATTGGTGATTGTTTAGGCCCTTATATTACCATCCTCCTAATATAGAATATGTGTTATGAAACATATAGTTTGTAAGAACTTTTTTCCAAAGGTAAATATATACTGGGGTTCAGCATGTTCCCCCAATATCTGCCAGAATCACATCGCACAAGGCTGTCTGGCACGAGCACATCTCGATGAAGCCATGAAGCCTATCTTCAGGCGGTAGTCTGGCCTGGCCCTCAAGGTGACAGAATCTGAAAGCCTTGTGCTCATTCATATTTTGGATGGGGAACTTTGCCACTGGGCTTCTTTCGCTCTTTGCGGCACGTACCGGCACGGCGCTCAACGCTTCTTGGGCGGTGCGAGGCCTTTTCGTTTTTCTGGTTCATTTCGGGAGTCAGGGTTCAGGGTGAGTTTCCAGTTCACCAAGTCCCTATACTTGTACCGAAAAGATACCCCCAGACCCGATTCTACTTCTCGATGCGTTGCGTGGGCTGTCTCGGCTTTAGGATATGATTCCTGCCATTATTCCTTAGACTTCGCTATTGTATACTATAAACTACCCCGACGCCCTATGATAAATCACATCCCTAAGTTGCATGTAAGTTACTCTCCATGCAGGTGGGAAGAGGTCTGAGGCTTGAGAGTAAAACGCCGAGGGGCGTAAGCCCTCAAACCACAACAGCTCTGTGGGTTCGCGACCAAGCATGCGTCTACGATTCGGGCCTCGATAATCGGAACAGATCTCTGGGGGTATATTATGCTGTATCTATAAAGAGGAGCCCCCAAAATAAAAGGGGTAAGTACTGAGGCCCCTAAATTCGGCGGTCGTGGCTCATAGGGTGGCCAGGTTTTCGATATTTAGTGCCTGCCAAAGCTAAACCGCAAAGCTTCCTGCACAGATTAGTTATACGCTCCCCTAGGGTTTCTGAGTATCCGTAGACTATGATATCTCCCCAAACACTACTTAAATTATCAATTCCTGATATGATGTGTCGAGAGCTGGGGAGCCCAACAAGCCTAGCAATCGAGGACTCCTCAGTGAAACACCGAGCCTTTCCCTCAAACATCCCGGAATGAGACAACAATCTAGGCTTGAGGGTAGGGTTTTGAGAGTTTAGAGTTCAAGCAACACATACAAACCCTAAACCTTACGTAAACCCCAAACCCTAAACCCTAAGCATGAAACAACGAAGCCACGAACCCGACGATGCTTGCAGGTTGGCGGAAAGCTCCGCGGACCGCGTAAGGCACGCAAACCGACCCTCCTTCAGGAGCGGGGACTTGATAAAGGGTTCCTTCAGAAGGATACTCTAGGGTTTAGGATTCGGGGTTCCTTTAAAGGGGTCTACAAGGGCTACTGTAACGGGTGCCCTAGTTACCACCAACACTATTTGGGGTTCAATAGCATACTTTTAGTACAAATGGCCCCAAGGCCCTATTAAAGCCCCTACATTGGTCGAGGATTTCAAGGTGGGCAGTCTCTGCCACATCCAGCCTTAGCTACAAGACACATTTCTAAGTTTAGCTCGGGTGATTCTCACTGCAAGTTCATTCCTCAGAGGCTCCTACATCCCTTAACTACGGATTCCATTTGCACTGTGGTTTAAGGAATACCTGTTTAGCTAGAGATTTGGGAAGCTCTGGTGTAAGCAGCCCTAAACCTTAAACGCCGAACCCTAAACCCTAAAACCCGACACCCCTTATAGTAGCCTTATAGACCCCTTTAACGGAACCCTAACAGCTCCCTTCAAAGGAACCCCCCTGAAAGCAAGCCCTAAACCCTAAAGGCCCAGAAACCTAACCGCTAAACTCTGAACCCCCATACGTGGCGGAATTTTTGAGAGGCCTTCCGTCCCTTCGGCTCCAGAAAAAGCTGACTACTGTGGACAAAAGCCTGCAGTACGGTTAATGATATTATAAACCCGCCATTGCACATAGTAAGGAATATACCATAATTCCCATAGTCTATGGTCACTAAGGTAATGCAGTGCTTTTGTCATCAGTACTGGCGTAAAATGTGGGAATCGAGACATATTCCGTACTGAGTTGTGCGTGAAAGTGTCTTGTAATCGCTTTCGGTGATTAACGACTTATTGAATAAGTCTGGTTGTGCACAAGCTACAGAACTCCAAAGTTCTGTGCTTGTGTGGAGATGCAACCTGGTTGATCCTGCCAGTAGTCATATGCTTGTCTCAGAGATTAAGGGTAATGCAGCATGTCCCCTGACGCCCTACACCCAACCCCTGAAACCCTGAAACCCCAACCCCAAGTGTTAGTCATTTGTCAAAGGCGCTACTGGAATCCCTCAGGTCTTTCTCCCAACGCTTGTTCTGTGGGGTCTTATCGGGCTTTATAAGCAGAAAGGGCTTAGGGGGGTGTCTGGAGCTTTAGGATTTCGAGTTTGAGTTTAGGGCTGGGAGTGTGTCTGCATGATTGGGGGGTTCGGCGTTCGACCTGTTCCAGAAACAGACAGCGCACTTGTGTGGTGTTCGGGTGAGTGGTCTGCCAGACCTGCTCCCCAAATATTCTGCACTCCTTAGTGGAGAGCTTCAGCTACACGACCATGAAAACCTGGCCACAGGAGTACCACTCGAATTCTACATGTGTATGTACATAAACATGTACATGTGCATATACGTATACATTTACATATACATATGTGCATATACATACATACACATATACATATACATATCCATATATATATATATATATATATATATATATATATCCATGTGCATCTACATGTACATGTGCATGTGCATGTACATATACATACATACATACATACATACATACATACATCATACATACATACATACATACATACATACATACATACATACATACATACATACATACATACATACATACATACATACATACATACATACATACATACATATATATATATACATATGTATATATATATACATATGTATATACAAGGTGAGAAAGAATTTATAGTATGTTTGCATGTGCGTATATGTATATGTTTGTGTATGTGTGTATTGCCATATGTATATGATACGCTTTGGACCAACACAGCCGCAGGAGCGCATGGGCCCTCAAGGGAGTCCGGATGCCCATGGCTCGAAGGCTGGGCTAGGATCTGCTTTCGGGTGTCCTTCCTTGGGAACACAAGCTCAACTTTGGGTACTTCGGCGTTTCGGCAATGTTTCTACACGCAACATGTCATCCATGTGTGTGTGTGAACAGACAGTATACATATATCTATATAAATATATACATATATGTATATATATATATATATATATGTTTATATTGCGCTTGTTTATTTGTTTATATGTACATGCTTCCTTTGCAGGTGGCTGGCCCGAGCTCCCAACGCAAACGCGAGGATTTCGGAGCGACGCCGCCATGGCCTCCATGTCCACGGCCTCCGTCACGAACGACCTGCAGACACCCATCGAGGTGGCCTTTTTCCCGGGCGACTGGCGTGTCTTATATCCCCAGAAGTCCTTCGAAGGAGTGGCGGATAAGATGAGCTTGATCCAGGTTCGGCTGCGAGAGTGCACGGAGGTGGGCAGCTGCCAGGCAGAAGGAGGCGCATCCCTGCGAGCCTCGGTGGACTTTGAAGTCTTTTCGCAGTGGTGCAAAGGCCGCGAACGAGCCGAGGCACGGGAACTTGCCCGTGAGGCAAAGCGCCGCGAAGAAGCGCAGAAGCGATCGGACGAAATGATCCGAGCAGCTGCCGCGAAGAAGCGCGATGCTCAAGGATTGCTTGGGCATGTCTTTGTTATTGGATGTTTCTTCGTGCTTCCGCTGGCCCTCTTGATTCTGTGCGTGGTCGCCCTACCTGGCAGTGCTTTCGACGCCGCAATGTTGGCCTGCACGGCGGTGCTGCTGTGTTGTTGCCTCAGCGCTTGCGGTGGGACCATGGGTGTCAAAGATGCAACTTCTGAATTCGAATTTGGAAGCTACGTGTCTCGTACCGTCATTATGTTCAGGCTGGTGTGGCTCCTCGCGCTGATCTCCCTGGCAGCTATGACGGCCCTGCACGTCCTGCAAGGACACTGGTGGACCGCGTTTCTCATTTGGCCAGGGGCCGCTTGCGCTTCCTCGTGCTACCTTTGCGTGGCATGCGGTGGCATTGCCCCCTCGGAGCTAGACGCGAAATCCCGGAGGGTTCTGGCATTTGAGAAGGCGAAAGCCCGGTTCGAGATCAGCAACAAGACCATCCGCTTCGAAGGCTCGGTGATCCGCGAACGTGGGCGGCCGTGTGTGGCCAGCTGGCCAGGGAAGTACGCAGGAGCCTGGGAGTCACTGGTCTCCCAGAGCCGCGACGGCCAGGTCAGTGCAGCGGTCGTCTTCCTCCCGGAGGGCACCAGTGATTATGGAAAGCACGATGTAGCCGAAGGCTTGCCCATGCGAAGCTGCTGGTGCACACCGCTCTATGGGGAGCAGAAGCCGTGGGGCTGCAGGTGGTTTACCAAATGGAAGGAAAACATTGAGATCGCCGTCGCCAGCGGTGCGCAGCTGGAGATTTATTTCTTCCAGGGCCAGGTGGGCCACGGCAAAGTGGACAGCTTCGAATCTGCAGGCGAGGACAGCCTGCGGAGAGAGAATATAAACGAAAAACAGAAATTGTTTGAGGAGTCTCCACAATTCCAACAAGCGCTGGAGGCAGGCCTCGGCAATCTCTCCCAGGAGCCGCGTGGCGACGGATCCTCCCAGTATAGCCGAGAAGTGCGACGTTTGTTCCTGGCCTCCCTCCCAGAAGCAGAGCGCGAGTTTATCACGGTTTCAGAAGGCTTGGGCAACTCCCAGAAAGCAGAAGTGGCCTGGCTGGAAAAGAAGGGCTACGAATACTGGGGGGTGGACGTCGCCACGTGGCTCCCGGGAGAGGGAGCCGAGATCTGTTTCCCAGCATCCTCGCAGAGAGAGCTGCCAACGCATGGCCGAGAGAGAGATTTCCCCTCGGTTTCTGTTCCGGTCGACCTGGAGTAGCTTAGGGGCTGAGTGGGTAAACCTGTACCGCTTGTGGGGCCTGTGCAATCCCACCAGGGTGGAAAAGCCTAACTTGTTAGTGTAGGCCTTTTATGGTTCACAGAAGGCTTACTTTTCGGTTGGGCTAGGTACTCAGCCACTCGGGAAATTTAGCAGGCGCTGCCTTGGGGGAAAGTTCAGCTTTTGTTTAGCTGGTAGGAGTTTCACACCATCATGGCAAATCCTAATGCGCTCGTCCCGGCAAGCTTTGAAAAGCAAAAGGGGATGGTCTCCGTGCCGCCACCTTCGCCTGCAGCAAGTTCGATCAGCACAATATGCTGCTTGAGATGACGGGTTCTTCCAGGTTGCGGGCTCGTTTTGAGGGATCCTTGCATACTTTTTCTCAAAGGATCATGGGACAGTACGTAGGGTTATAAATCAGGCAATTAGCTATACTTATGGTTTCTTACAGGCCCAGCTAAGGTGATTACTTATAGCCCTACTTGCTTCTTCCCAGGATCCTCCAAGTATACAAAACTGCCATGCCACCCCCGGCTGGGTCCCTCCGAAGCGACAGATTTCATTTAGCTCCCACCGCCTTCGCTTCATGCCTTAACCTGTTCCCCTGTGCCGAAGCTCTGACTGAAACCCAGCCGAGATGCACAATAGGCATTGAATTACAATTCAACCCCAAACACTAAACCCTGAACTTAACCCTTAGCCGAGCTTTCCGAATCTGACGGACCTCCCACATTGTAGAACCCTACTATAGATTCCTTATGGTAACCCTTATAGACCCCTTTAGAGGAACCCCCATGAACTCCTTTAAAGGGGTTCCTTGCGGGGATCGATACGGGCATCCTTAACAGAGCCTTAATAGATCCCTTAAAGGAACCCTAATGGATCCCTTAAAGGAGCCCTTATAGATCCCGTAAGGGAAACCTTTAAAAAGGGCAGAAGAGGTCCGACTCGGAGGGATCGTGGGTGAGTCAGAGGAGGTTTTTTCTATTGTCGAACTTCAGGTTAGGGGTCAGTGTTTAGGGATTTCGGATTCAGGCTTTAGGTTCAAGGGTTCAGAGTTTAGGGCTTCAGGTTTTAGGGTTCAGGATTTGGGGTTTAGGGTTTTAGGATTCAGGGTTCAGGGTTTAAGGGTTTAGATTTCGGAGTTTAAGCTTTTAGGATTTAGGGTTCAGGGTTTTTGGTGTAAGGTTTGAGGGTTAGAGTTATTCTGGAGATAAGCGCATTTCAGGCGCGGCAGGTTTGCGTCCTGGTTCTTGCCCTTGTACTGCACTTACCGACTTGTCCTTGATTTGCTTGGGTTTCACGGTGCCCTTACCCCATACTATTCAGTGTTTACTCAGCTCCTTTTTGCTGCATAAAGGAACCCGACAGAAAACCCACAAACTCTTCAAGACCCCAAAAGGTATTTGACTGCCAGGAGTAAGCTGAGTTAAACCTTTGACCACTACGTAGTCCCCGGCATCCTGACCAACGAGGTTTGTACTTGGACGCTCTGTTGTGGTCAGTTGGGTTAGTCGGATGAGCTATGGAGAGTTTATCTACGAGACTACTAGAAAGCTTATACGGATTAGTCAGAAGACCTGCTACGTCAAAACAGCTTCCATATACCACCCCAAACCACACTACATCCCATGGGACGGCTTGCTGAAGGCAACTGGTATGGAGAGGTTCGGCCACCGGCGACGCACCGCTTTGCACTGCAGAAACAAGTGCACTGTGAAGATCAGGAAGCTGCTTCACCACGTCGTTTCATTATTACTATTATGACTAACTGTGTTATTATTATCGTTGTTATTCTTGTCACTGTATACTTTGCGCACCGCCATTCATCAGGCAAGTGGCCGAGCGATCAAGCGGTCTTTCTAGCCTTGCCGTTGCTGCTGCGCAGTGCCGAATTTTGCAGACAAGCATTCTTGCCGAGCTTTCATCCTTTAAGCTTTAAACTCCCCAAACCCGAAGACCCTAAACCTGGAGGCCCTAAAACCTAAGCGCTACATCTAGATGCTCATCTCAGCCGTTTGGCCCGAAGCACGCGAACGAGGTTCCCATAATGAGACCGGTAGCATCACCTGTGCGGCAGGGTGTGTCCCTCCCTTTGCAGGCGCATTGACCCAGGGTGTCAGGATTCGGGGTTTGCGGTTTAGAGCTTTAGAGTGCTCCGTGTTGTATGTGTCCTATGCTGGGCCTAGCTCATGGCATTTGTGTCGAACGGGCATCGCTTGTATCATGACGGCATGTGTAATTATTGCGATTACTGGCGGCATGTTCGCCAGCACTGTCCCATTACGATCTTCACATCGACGGGTCATCGCGATCTGTGGACATGGTCATCGTTATTATCACTGCACCAGCATTAATTATGATCGCCATGTCGACACACCATGAGACACATTGAATTATGTGGAGGCTGTCCATGATGGGCTCGTTTCTCCAGCATCCTGCGAAATGCTCTTGTGCTTTGCGGAAGCCGGAATCTGCACTTGCTACTCTTGCCGTGCTGCTCCACAGGGGCCACCGAAGACTTTCGAGAACTTGGGCAGCTAGTGCTTTGAGTTTCGGATTTAGGAGTTGAGGTTGAGGACCTAAAAAAAGCTTCGGAATACTGAGCAACGAATCTCCTTGGCCGCCGTATAGTTTTACTGAGAGTAGCACACTATCCAAACCCTGTTTTCAGGGTTAAGGCCCCTAATATAGGGGCCTAAATAATTACCTATACCTATACTATTCTGGGGGTTCCCTATCATAATTCTAGTATAGAGGGCCCCAAAACCCTGTTCTAATTATTCAGGCCTCTATATTCGGAGTCAGGGCTTTAAAGATCGCTCAGGATGTGGAGGTGAAGTTGTGGGGTCTTTTGCTTCGACCTGCTCAGGGCGTCCTGTCCAGAACCCCGGCATTCTAGGGGCTTGGCGTTTCTTAGGGTTTAAGACGAATGACTCAGAGTTCATGGTTTCGGGTCTCAGGATGTAGGGTTCATTCCTACACCGTAAATCGCGGGAGGTTCATGAGATATAAGGCTGTCTACAAGCCAGGAACCCAGAAACCTGGAAGATCCAGAAAGTAGACCCCTAATTTGTGACCCTGTACCACTAAAGGGTAATTTTATGGAGCCGCCTTAAGGTTGACGGATCTACTTTCTATATCCTCCCCAGGTCTGGCAATCTGTGGTCGTCCCAGCGACGTTCAAAAACCCCTAAGCCCGTGATAGACCTTAACTTATGGAGCGACCATGTACAGAAACGTGTCTCGGGTATACCCTAGACCCCTAAACCCTAAAACCCAAGATAAATACCAAACCCTAAACCCTTCAACCTTGAACCTTAAGCCCCACTTCTCTTCGTCAGGGCATTTTAAATGTCCAAGCGATCACGGAGCTTTTGGGACGCCTGCCGGAGCACCTGCAGCAGGAGTTTGACCCCGTTTCTTCTTTCGAAATGGCCTTATCTGTTTTACTACATACGGCTTAGGGTTTAGGGGTTAGGGTTTTGTTGTTTAGGGGTTAGGGTTTAGGGTTATCTAGTATAGTGGCTTCAATAACAACTAATCTTATTCCTTCGGGAGCTCCGCCATATCAGTTACACCCCAGGGGCCCCGAAACTAAACCCTTGTAGAAACCGTTCAGGGAACATTCAACGGAACTCGACTGAGGCACCTAGCCATCCGAGTGTGTGCTTTTGGCGTTTCCGGATCTGTTCGGATTGGTAAGCGGCTACCAAACCACATGCTTCCGCAACCTTGCAAGCACGTCAGCCCGAAACTCGAAACCAGGAGCGGTTTAGCAAAGTTTGGGATGTAGGAAGGGTTGGAGTTTACAAACTCTCCGGAGATCAACGGCTTCGAGGCCATGACCAGCGCAAACACCTATAACTGAATCGATGTTTCGGGGTTCAGGGTTTAGGACTCATGGATCCGGGTTTTTGAATGGTTGCCTGGATAGGCATGGGCAACTCGAAGTAGAGTTTACAAGCACCTGGACATCTAATTTAGCTTTCGATACGAACCCCAGAAACTCGAAATCCCCCAAATCCTAAACCAATAAACCCCCGCCCTGATCCCCATACCCTAAACCCTTAAAGTTGAATCCTGAACCAGCAAAATGCGATCTGCGTTGACCCTGCAGAGTCGAAATCACATAAAGGGGAACTGAGGAGAGTTTGAGGGTTTGGGGGGGTTACGGTTTTGGGTTGAGGGCGAAGGGAGAAAGACGGAAGGAGCGAGAGATTGACCTTAAATCGTCCTACCTAAGCCTTAGCTCTGGATGCGGCAGGAGGCGAGATGCGATCTGCGGAGACGCTTGCAACCTGAGATCATTGCATGGCAGGACCTGTCCATATCACTGTTTGCACAGTTCCGGAGCCTGGGGCACAAGACTTAAGTTCAGGATTAAGTCTTCCGGAGTTGTTCGTGCTTTCGTTTAGGGCTTAGGGTTTTAAGGCTTAGGGTTTAGGGCTTAGGGTTTAGGGCCTCGGGATTAGGGCTTAGGGTTTAGGGCTTTGGGCCAGCTGCTCTGTCCAATGACGACGAGGAACTGCAATGTTCCTCTAGTGAAGCTTTGTTTCGTCCGGCAGCATCTGTTGGTAGGCTCTGATGTCTCACGATATCCTTTGTAGCTTGTTCCAGCTTTGATTCGCTTCACACTCGGTTGTTAAGCGAGATACCTCCAACTTAACTAACCATCAGAATAAAACGACCTGTAAAAACCCAGCGATCCTGCAAAGTCCTGCTTTAGCGGGCAAGCAAGTCAAGCTCAAATCAACCCCAAACCCGAAAGCATGGAACCCCAATCCTTCGCAGTCCCGAAGCCCCCAAGCCCTAAACCTCAAACCTCAAACCCTAAAGCCTTAGACCTTAACCCCTAGACCAATACATCCTAAACCTCAAATCCTAAACCAGAAAAACCTAAACCCTAGAACCCTTACACCTCTTAAACCCTAAAACCCTTACACCTCTTAAACCCTAAAGCCCTTACACCTCTTAAACCTTAAAGCCCTTATACCTCCAACCCCCAAAGAGCAGGAGCATTGGGACACCGACGACGGGGCTCTGGAACCAGAGGAGCTCTTCGAACACCAAGCTGATTTGGGTTTGAAAGGGTTCCTTTACCTGTGGATCCGAAAAGCCTAGCGTTTTTAGGGTTATACCCTCTAATTAAGTGGTCAAAACCTACTATTTTGTAGGGTTTGGGGATACAGGTAAGACTTAAGAGTGTCTTTAAAAGTTGTGTAGGGCTCCTTTGACAATTAGGGATTTCCATACGGGGGGGTTAGGTTTCCTTCAGGAATTAAGCGCAGGGCTTACCTGTGGCTCGAGTCGAAAGACCTAACTTTTTACGGAACGATAAGTATGAGCCATAATCAATAACCCTAAAAAGGTAGGTCTTTTCGGCTACAGGTAGGGTTTAGGGCTTGGGGTTTAGGGGTTCGTTACATGACTTACCTTTAGGACCAAATATCCCTTAGAAGTAAAGGCCCTAGACTGCCGCAGTATGGTACATGATTTTACACCTCTTTAGGCGTTGATTTCGGCTTTGTTTAATGTTTGGTTAGCCCTTTAAAGCTTCTGAATAGTCGTAAACAAGATCCTCTTCAGCCCAACAAGATGACATGAAATCTCTCCCAAAGGCCTACTGGGACCAAGATGGCACAAGCCCCCCAAAAGCACCACCCTGAACTTGGGAAAACCAGATCTGAACTTAATCTGTGAAGCCGGGCAGCAAAGACAGTGTTACTAGTACCAGAGAAGCCGAAAACGCTGATGGGGCCGATGATTTTGAAGGCTGAGGCAAGTTTGTTTGGGTTTGTCGGGCGAAGAAAGGTCTGGGGAAAAAGCACCTGCGTGGCAACCTTTTCCCAAATCGCCCCGTCATCATCATTGCTAGAATCATCATCGTTGTCACCAACGCCATCACCATGGATAGCATCATCGCCGTCATCATGCTCTTAATCATCGTTATCATCATGGTCATCAATGTGTTGAGCAGTGGGCTTTCTGCGTTGGGAAAACCAGATCTGAACTTAATCTGTGAAGCCGGGCAGCAAAGACAGTGTTACTAGTACCAGAGAAGCCGAAAACGCTGATGGGGCCGATGATTTTGAAGGTTGAGGCAAGTTTGTTTGGGTTTGTCGGGCGAAGAAAGGTCTGGGGAAAAAGCACCTGCGCGGCAACCTTTTCCCAAATCGCCCCGTCATCATCATTGCTAGAATCATCATCGTTGTCACCAACACCATCACCATGGATAGCATCATCGCCGTCATCATGCTCTTAATCATCGCTATCATCATGGCCATCAATGTGTTGAGCAGTGGGCTTTCTGCGTTGGGAAAAGCAGATCTGAACTTAATCTGTGAAGCCGGGCATCGAAGCCATTGTTACGAGAAACCGAAAACGCTGGTGGGGCCGATGATTTATGAAGGTTGGGGCAAGTTTGTTGAGGTTTGGAAAGGTCTGGGGAAAAAAGTAACACCCCGGCAGCCTTTTCCCAAATCGCCCCGTCATCGCCACTGCCATCGCCATTGCTATCATCATTGTCATCGTCATCACCATCGTTTACCATCGTTGCAATCACCATCGGCATCATCATCGTCATCATCCTGGTCATCATGTTCAGTGGTGGTTTGTCTTTCCAAAAGGGGTTTGGGGCTGAGGGTTCTACGTCTCCCAATAACATCCTTAAACGGTTTAGGGATGAGATTTTAGTGTTTTGCTTCTGGTTTCTTCCATTAGACCTGAAGTACAGGAGGAAAGGTAGCCTTACTAAAGGAATAGGACTCTTATGGCTGTTGTTGGGGTTTGTTAGCTTCTGCAGAAACTTGGTTATGAACTTGATAGACTTTTCACTTTTTGTTTTGAATTTCTGAACACCTCTTGCCGAGTAGCTGTTGGTGGTGATAGTTTGCTGGTTTGGTGTCGCGGGTTTTGGTTGGAGTTTGCTGCACCCTGCTTGGGGCTATCTTCCCCAAACCCTACAATTGTATCACACGCAAGGAGCCCCTCAGTAGCGATGACGAGATGCCGGACTCCAAGGTGCGACGGTAGTTCCCCCAACCGCAGCTTCAGGGGTTGAGGCTTTAGGGGTTTAGGGTTTGGGGTTTAAAAAGTTTAGGGGTTGGGGTCTGGAGTTGAGGGTTCAGGGTTGAGGGTTTAGGGGTTGGTACGTAGTTAGGGTTTGGGGTTTAGAGCTTATATAGTGCAGGTTCAGGATTGAGGGTTTATGGTTTGGAGTTTTGGGGTCTCGGTCTGGGAAGTAGGGTACAGGGATGTGAGGGGCAGGATTTGGGATGCAGGGTATGGGGATGTAAGGTGTAGGATTCAGGGTGTAAGGTATAAGGATGAAAGATGTACGTAGACTGCAGGTTTAAGATACAGGATTTGCAGTGCGGGGTTTAGGGCTTCGGGCGACAATTCGAGGCAGTTGTCTCAACTCAGCATGACTTGTATGTGCTTCCAAAGCAGTTCTTATTATATATCTATTGTCCCTAAACCCTAAACCCTAAACCGTATCTAGGTATCACGCCAGCGACCCGTGCTTTTAGTCAAACAGCGCTCAAAGTCGATCTTCGGTTTGCGGTCTGACCGTGTGTAAAATTTAGGCTAGGGTTTCAAGTTTAGGATATGGGAGTTTCGAAAATCAGGGGTACCTTATTTTGGGGTCCTGATATATAACAAGGATCCTACTATTTTGGATACTATACTAGGGTCCCTGAGTGTAGGCTTGAGAGGGTTCTTCTCAGGTCAGGCGAATCCTGATGGAGGTCCCCAGAGTTTGCACCCATTTGTTTTGATTAGAAATTAGCACAGAGGCCTAAACAATCACCACTATTATTCCTTAGGGATCCTTATTATAACCAAGCTACAAAGGAGCCCAAGACACTGCTATGATAATTAAAAGCCCTTTTTCATTCGCCTTTGGAGTATGTGTCTTTGTTTGGCTTGGATTGAGGGTTGGCTTCGGGAGCTGTGTTGTGTGTATCTGCGGGTATCCAAACCTAGAAGCCTGTGTGCATAATCATCCCATAATCATGTAGCACTTCTTGCTCAGTGCGAATCGAATCAACAAGCCTTTCATCTAGGTACCTGCACATGGTGTGGGGTTTAGGGTTTAGAGCACTGTGGAGCTGTTGAAGTACTCGGAGTGCCATATGGAAAGACCGCTCAAAGAGGTGTCACTCAGCAGTCGGTGCGTGCCTTTGCACCAGCTCCATTCAGATGTTTACTGCATCTGTAGATGCCCGACAGGGATACCATGTCGAGCACTAGTGGGATCTGCAGGGAAACAGGAAGCAGGAAAGAGTCGGAAAAAGTTCGTGTCAGTCTCCAAGTACGTATTGGGCGTTGCCACAGTTGTAAGATTAAGCTTTGCATTGAAAAGCTCGGTTTCAAAACCAGTGCTAAGCCCATCAGAGCTCCCTCAAAAAGCCAGTGAAAGGGCTCCTTTAAAGGTGTTACAAAAAGGGGGTTAGGGTTCCCTGAAAAAGCTCACTATAGTCTTCGTGCGTGAGAACTGTCGGAGATCCTCCGCAGGATAGGAAGAGCAAGAAAGCTCGGCGCGCACCACCCGTCCCAGAGGACCGCTTGTTGGGTAATGTCGGGACCTACAGAATCACTAGGTAGAGCTTTGGGACATTTTATATTTTCCCTTATTGGGCTAAAGAGGATCTTCTTTACTAATATTTTTCAAAAGCTTTAAAAGCCCCACCTAGATCACCATTCCTGTTTCTTGCGGGTTCCTTGCTATAGCAAGAAAGTCGTAAATACACTCCCGCAAACTCTAGTCTGATTGCAAATGTTGAGGCACTAAGCCTTGTTGAAAGCATGCTAAAAAACTTAAAGAGACCCTATTGAGATGATGCAGAGCTTACAAAAAATGCGAATATTTTTCGACATTCCGATGAATTGAATAATGGTTCTACTTGAGCTAGCGAGTTGTGTACGCACTATAGAGGATCCCGAAAGGGAGGGCCGTTCTTGTGCAGGGTTCCGAGATTCGAAGTTACTGGTCTCCAAGATTTCAATTTTGTAGTGCTTTACACTCGTTAAAGTTATCCAGCGGCTTTAGCTGTGCTCCATTGTTGCCCCACTGTGGCTCTTGCTGACGTGCTACTTTCTCCTCACCTTGAGCTCCAAGCTCTCAAGCCTTGCGGCCTCTGGTATCCCTATGCTACGAGCACCACACAATGCCCAAACTGAGAACCCTACACCCTAGACTATTGTCTTTGCAACCCCCACACTGGGCCTAAACCCTAAAATCCTTAGAAAAGAATCCCTGTGAACAAATTTAGGCACAAACTAAAACATACCTTGTAGTAAGACTGTCAAAGCCACTTGGCTGCAGGACTTATTGACCTTATTACACCCTCATAGAACGTTCTAAACAAGACAGAACCTACATGTTCGCTCCCGTAAACCCCTGAGCACTGAAGCCCAAAACCCTAGACCCTAAACCCTGTAAAGCAGCCTCGCGTTCCCTCTCCTTGAAAACCCTTGGTCGCAGGACGGCTATCCGAGCCAGCTTTGGAACAACAGCCCGGCACAGGGCCAGCCGGGTTTCAATGAAAGCGTACAACAGGTAGCCTGGACGAAAGCTCTGTATCGGGCCTTAGGGTTCTTTGGCCTGAGGGTTTTATAGGGGTTCTTTCAGGGGCACCTAGGGGTTTGTTGTACAAGGGTTCTGCAAGGGTTCTGTGGAAATTTAGGACTAGGATTCCAAATCTTTCCTGGAGTTACAACGTGATTTTGGGGTGTCCGAGGCTTCGGGTCCGCAATTTGGGGTTCTTGGCGGTGTTTAAGTTTAAGGTTTTGGTTTAGGGTTTAGGGTTTACGGTTCAGGGTTTTGTGTTGTTGCCACAGCTTGCAAGGTTGCTTATGCCCAGCGCGGTATTTCTAGGTAATCGCGAAGGCCAGTGCACATCAAAGGACCGAGCGCGAGTTGAAGGATTGCTGTTCTCGTTAGTACGTTGATGATTATTTGGGAATATTACTGCATTGCTATTGTTATCATTGCTACGAATATTAACCTGAGGGTGAGGAGGTTTGGGACGTTTGTTGCTGCAGCTACCCTCTCTTGACAGTGGTCTGTGAGAACATGGAGTTTGTTTTCGGTTCTTGTTGAGAATGATTTGCAGAAGAGGCAGCTTGATCGCCGGCTATTCCTCCCCGTTGTGACGGAATCTAGAAGCCAGGTCCTGCAAAACACACGATAAGCAGAAGACTCCAAACCCTGAAACACAAGACCAGACGCCCCCTTCAAACAAAAGCAGCATAAAAGAAGAACAAGCCTAAAGGCGTGAAGCACCAGAACCCCTCCTCTCAAACAAAGACAGCATACTAAAGGCCTAAACCCTGAAACCCCAGCTCTGGCGTCAGCTGAGGTTTTGAAGAAGTTGGCCGGCTGGACGTCGCCCTCGCAGGGCGAAGCGAAGCTTCTTCCTCAGCAGAACGTGGTCGCTTGCTTGCTCCACCCGAGCCTCAGACCTTTGTTGGTTTCCGGGTTTCCTGTGGTAGTATAGCGCTGTATAACGTAGTATAACCAATCTTAAACACTAAACCCCTAAACCCTACATCCTAAACGCTTACCCACAAACCGCTAAACCCTTTCCGAAGTGGGTTGCTGAACAGCCCAGGAGCTCGAAAGTTCAGCGGCTCCTTTGTGACCACAACACAGGCCGGAACAGACCAAGAATCACTAAACCCTATACCCCAAGACCCCCATTGTCCCACTTCGCCTGCTTTGTCTTGCTCAAGTAGTTGTTCTCGCCTGCTCCCGACAGGATCCGGGAAGACCTTGTGCATGGTTCGAAGCTTGGCTTTGGAAGTGACACGCTCGCATTTGTCCCAAATCAACTGTTCTTGGCTTTCAACCCCACTTGACTTGGATGCGCATAAATACAAGGTTGTCCTCGAACAAAATGCCGCAACAAGACAGAAATGTCTACGAGGATGTGATGAGTTCCTTCACCCCATCTCTTAACCGCTAAAGCAATTGAATAGAATGCAAGTGGCGCAACCGAAATTCTACCAAGAAGCGGAAGAAGACGAAGAAGACGAAGAAGAAGAAGAGGGAGAGGCAAAGACTTGCACGTGCAGTGTGCAAGGAATCATGGACAACTTCTACTTCGACCCGCGTGGTAAGATCGCGATTTTTCCGAAGGACAGCGTGGTGGACAACTTCTACTCGGCGCCGCTTGCCACTAAAGGAGCCCTCAGAGAGTAACCTTTATAGAACTCTTATAGAACCCTGTAGTTGAACCCTTAAAGGAACCCTTACAGGATCGGGACCTCGAAACTCTCGAGACTCGAAGTGCGAAGAGTCCCCTCTTTGCAACAAACCCATACTTGCCTCTAAGAGGTGGCAGCAGTTCTTGGGCGAATTGTTGAAGTGTATGAGGTGAAATCTATGCTACAGATGGCCCAATCCTTTATTTTCCATCCTGAAATCTCCGGAACCTTCAACAACCCTAAACCCTATACCCTAGACCTGACAGCCAGCCCAAGTCCGAAAGCACGAGCTTTAGACAGCGTCGGGAGTTTCGACCTCTTGGACGGACTGCTTTTATGACACATCAGGTGGCATGTAGAAGTCAGAGGCCAGGAGTCAAAGCACGATTGGAGCATTCAATCTTCAGGGCTGCACCGGAACGCAGTCCTCTCTGCGGTGACAGGAATCAGGTTTTGCACAATCCGAGCATCAGTGTTGCCGGGAGCGTAGTTCGTGGAGACAAACACAAGATCCGAGAGCGAGCAAGAGTTTGCAGTTGTCCCGGGATAGGGTTTAGGTTTAATGGCCGCTCTCATGTATGCGGAGTACACGAGGCTGTACCTGACGATGTTTGGCATGAAGATGTTGCAGAGGATGGTTTGCCGAGTATCTCTATTTATATTCGATTTCTGTGTGTGGCTCCCAAGCAGGCACAACCCTAAGCCAGACCCAGAAAGTAGCAAAGTCCTAGGGTCGAAATGCAATGCCCAACGTCAGAAGCCTTGAACGTTGAAACCGCCAGTGAAGCCTAACCAGTGTTCTTACAGAGTTGAGGGTACAGGGATCAAGACGGGATGGAAAGAAACTGAGCTGCTTTGAGCAAAACACTCTTCCCTACTAAACCTCCCTAAACCCTAAACCCTCATGTTCAAGCCATGCAGAATTGGGGTTTAGGGTTTCGGGCTTCAGGCCCCTAAACCATAAACCGTGGCTATGTCTGTTTTTTCTGTTCGCAGCCTAGGCTTTGGGAGTGGCCCAATCGCTGGCGCGACTACTGATGCCTGGCTCAAGTTAGGTGTTAGGATTTAGGTTTAGGTTTGAGGGTTTAGAGTTTTTGATTTACGTAGGGGTTAGAGTATTTATTTGATCCATAAGACACTTTCTATAGAGTCTGTAGAGGGTTCGTATAGTTCTGCTGCTGTAAGTTGCTACAGGACAGAGTGTTTCACTACCCTGAGCCCTTAAACAAAGAGAATTATGATATATTCCTTAGTACGGGTGATGCCAAGTTTGTGTCCATCAGCAGTACCAGGTTTATGTTACGCAGAACAGCCAGAAGGAAGCTTAGTGCCAAGATGCTCATCGTCAGCACTCTGAACCCTAACCCTATACCATGGGCTTCTGTGGCGTTATGGCTGCGAGGCGTGTGGGTTTTATCAGGGCTTGATTTTGAAGGAGGATGTTCGGATGAGATGCAGAGGTTAAGGCCTCGTGGGACAAGACCCTGAACCCTAAACCCTATAAACCCCAAAATCCTTAAACGCTCAACCCCCGAACCCCTAAATCCCAAACCTCTACACTCTACACCCCTAAACCCCTACCCCAAACCCTAACGAAGCAGTCAAGGCTGCCATCTCCATCCACGAAGCGCTGCACTGGCCTGTAGCTGGGCGCTGAATGCTCAGCCGGGAGCTTTTGGACCTTGTGGGGCGTAGGCTTAGGGTTTAGGGGCTTCGGGTTTAGGGTTTAAGGTTGAGGGGCTTACGGGTTTAGGTTTAGACTTCAGAGATGTACAGACTTCGAGGGCTTCAGGCTTAGGGTTCAGGGATGTTCCGAATGTCAGGGCGGGTTTAAGGCTCAGGCTCTGGGATTGAAAGGGTTTAGGGTGAAGGCCCTCGTTTGCTTTTGCAATCTGGCTGATCCGCCTTGTGTGAGGCACGAGTACGATGCCTTTTACCAGTAGACTTGGGTTTGTAGAGAAGCAAGGTTTTTCCTATAGCTCTAAAGGAACTGTACGGGGTCTGAAAATGCTCACACCTCTATGCTACTCCGTATAGTCCGAGCCAGGAGCAGGCCCCAAAGACCAACTCCATAAGACCCGGCAATAAAAGAAACTCTTAGATCCCTCAAACTGCGGAAAGTGCCTTAGAGAATTCTTCCTCAGGACCCCTTGGGCTTGGGTCTAGGTTTAAGCCTTCCCGGTGTTTTAGGGATTTCAAAATTAGGGCTTTCGATGGGATTCATGGGATATCTGGTGTACCTTGACCAAGGCAATGCCGATGATTGGCGCCGCCTTCGCTTCAAGCGCTGGAGCGTTGGCAAGTCCCAGGCTCTGCAACGGAGGGCAGCTGCAGAGGGCCTGTGCCCCAGTGGTATTTGGGAGTTTCCGAAGATTAGGGGACCGTATATTGGGGTTCTTATAAGAAGGATACGACTATTTAGGGTACTATATTCGGGTCCCCTATTTTCGGCAACTCCCACTTGGAGGTTCTGGCACTTTCAGTAGGGTAACAAGAGTTATAACCATATCCGTGGACTTAGAACTCCACGTATAACTATTCATGAACCTCCAAGTGGGGGTTTGGTTTGGGGGCAAAGGGTTTGCCGGTCTTTCTTTGCACCTGATTCAAAAGGAGTGACACCTAAGTCCTTAGGCATCGTGAAGGTCTTACGGCTTAGAATTTCGGACGTATGCCCACCACCTGAAGCCCATGCCACCCTTTACCTCAACCATGCTGTGTTTGTGCTTCTCCTTTTCGGAGGGCAGGGTTTAAAACAAACACCGCATGACAGCCCTGTGGTGTAGATAGCCCGAGCCCTAGGCCCGAAACTCGTAAACCCGAAAACCCTAAACCACTAATCCCTAAACCCTAAACCGTGGTTCTCCAGCTGCACGTGGTCTGCAAGACGGGTGATTCTGATTGAAAGCCGCAAGCAGATCCAGAAAGCTCTGAAGCGAAGATTCCGACAAGCCCTAAAGCCTTTAAATACAACGATTGCGAGCTACTCTTATGGGGATCGCAGTAGTTACTAATAATTTCTCTTATTGTCGCTGTAACTAGCCATATCTGATGCTCTTCTGAGCTCAAAGCGAGCAATCTGCTGAAGCTCCTGTTGCCGATAGACAAAAGTCTGCATCACATAAGCACCTTGACCCTGGGAAGGTTAGCATGTTCCTGAAACCAGGAAGCGTGCCCACAAAACCCGCAGAAAGACAACGTGCAAAATGTCACAAAGCCTTCCAAACCCTCTGACAGATAATGCAGGGTCCCTAAACCCTCACCCCAAAGCCCTCGTGAATGAACAAGCTTAGCGCCTGAGGCTTAAGCCTACAGCAGGGCATCAAGGAGACGGTGAGTTTAGGCGTCACGGAATTTTACAATTTTATGGGTTAGAGGTTTGTAGAGGATTTAGAGGACTTAGGGGAAGGGCTAGGAGTGAGGGTTTAGGATTGTGGATAAAGAATGTCTGTCAAAAGGTTCGGTCAAAACTTTACAGCCTTGCTTGGCGAAGGAGTTCCTGATCAAGCCCATCCGCGAGGCTTGCGAGATGAAACGCGCCTTCTTTCTTGGCAAGGCCAGGCTTTGCGGCGAGAGGTCGACATTCCTTTACCTTAGCTCTAGAAAAGGTGGAAAAAGGGCCCTTGGAAAGACAAACGTAGAAGAAAAGAATGAACGTCACTTCGAGGTCTCGGGTGGTTCACGCCTGGTTATGGTTACGAAGAAAGATCTCAGGTGCAGGCTGTCAAGATTCAAGGGCTTAAGGAAGTAGTTGTTGAATCGTGTGGTCGTACTTAGTGGTTCTGGCTGTTCCGCTTGAGGCACCGGGGTCAAGGTGGGACTCTTACCTCCATGTTTCTTTGTATGAGGCTTCAGGGAAAGAGCCCTAAACCCTACACCCAAACCTTAAAGATGGGACTCCCCTAAACCTTTAAGTAAACCCTAAACCCCAAAACCCTACACTCTAGTCGTCAGTCTTCTTGGCATGAGGTCACTTCCCGCTTCGTGGACAACTTCTGGGCCTCCACGAGCAACGATGTAGCCGGGCTGCACTGCAAAGCCCCCCTTTCTTACCTTTGGTTAGTAGGGAATGGAAGAATGGTACCCCATTCCTCCATTCCCTGCTAACCAAAGGTAAGCTTTGTTGAGGAAGATCCTCGGTTGAGACACGACCTTTAGGACGTTTTGGGGTTTAGGGTTTTTTGAGTCCCGAAACTTACGATCCGTAAGCATTTGAAGCTCCGTGATGAGGGCACCGTCCGCATTCCTCAGCCTCGAGCCCCGAACCCCATGAAATCTGGCCTGGGAAAGCTTCGCGCCAACCGCGAGAACGGGGGGACCCAATTTTTTTTGACCCTTTTATTTTTTTTTTTTGGGCCCTTTTTTTTTGTTTGCCCTTCCGTGGGAAGGAAGGAAGGAAGGAAGAGAGGAAGAGAGGAAGGAGGGAAGGAAGAAAGGAAGGAGAAAACAAACAAGGAAGGAAGCAAGAAAGGAAGGATGGAAGAAAAAAGGAACGTAATCGTATATACACTGATACCTGCGCAACACTGGACTTCATTGATGGCATTGCAGGTCACCCATGCCCGATCAAAGCTATGAATCAACGATGCAGCACGCGCGCAGGATTGCAACTCGGCACCACCTTCCACAGGCATGGAGGCATCGATGCGTAGCAAGAAGCAAAACCCAGAGAGAACCCTAAACCCTAAACCAGAGGCATATTCTCATGTGGGAAATGTTGATTTTTCCCGGGAAACACCTAGAAAACGAACCAAAAACAAAGCAATGAGTTAATCTCATGAAAAGATATAAGAAATTTTGTTTTTCCGTGGAAAACCAAGTAAACGAATCAAAACGAAAGAATTCATAGGAACTCATTCAAAAAGTGGTATTAATCTTACGAAGCTATACAATGTTGGTTTTCCTAGGAAAAACCAAGACAACGAACCAAAGAAAAACAATGAACACCAAATAAAGAGAAATAAGATAAATGCTCCCAAAACAACTTCACTCGTTTGTTTTCCTGCGTAAACGTAGAAGTAAACATAGACAAATACAGGTCTATGGATGTAGATATGGACATATCGAGAAAATCCTGGTTTCCCACCTTAAAACTAGATACAAGATAGGTTTTATACTAGGGAAATATAAACAAACTAGAAGTTTTCCTATGGGAACGTAGGCAACTCCCCCCTAAACCCGAAACCCGGGAACGTAGGGAACTCCCCTCCCCTAAACCCTAAACCCTAAACCCTAAACCAGAGGCATATTCTCATGTGGGAAATGTTGGTTTTTCCCGGGAAACACCTAGAACACGAACCAAAAACAAAGCAATGAGTTAATCTCATGAAAAGATATAAGAAATTTTGTTTTTCCGTGGAAAACCAAGTAAACGAATCAAAACGAAAGAATTCATAGGAACTCATTCAAAAAGTGGTATTAATCTTACGAAGCTATACAATGTTGGTTTTCCTAGGAAAAACCAAGACAACGAACCAAAGAACAACAATGAACACCAAATAAAGAGAAATAAGATAAATGCTCCCAAAACAACTTCACTCGTTTGTTTTCCTGCGTAAACATATCTACATCCATAGACAAATACAGGTCTATGGATGTAGATATGGACATATCGAGAAAATCCTGGTTTTCCACCTTAAAACTAGATACAAGATAGGTTTTATACTAGGGAAATATAAACAAACTAGAAGTTTTCCTATGGGAACGTAGGCAACTCCCCCCTAAACCCGAAACCCGGGAACGTAGGGAACTCCCCTCCCCCCCTAAACCCTAAACCCTAAACCAGAGGCATATTCTCATGTGGGAAATGTTGGTTTTTCCCGGGAAACACCTAGAACACGAACCAAAAACAAAGCAATGAGTTAATCTCATGAAAAGATATAAGAAATTTTGTTTTTCCGTGGAAAACCAAGTAAACGAATCAAAACGAAAGAATTCATAGGAACTCATTCAAAAAGTGGTATTAATCTTACGAAGCTATACATTGTTGGTTTTCCTAGGAAAAACCAAGACAACGAACCAAAGAACAACAATGAACACCAAATAAAGAGAAATAAGATAAATGCTCCCAAAACAACTTCACTCGTTTGTTTTCCTGCGTAAACATATCTACATCCATAGACAAATACAGGTCTATGGATGTAGATATGGACATATCGAGAAAATCCTGGTTTTCCACCTTAAAACTAGATACAAGATAGGTTTTATACTAGGGAAATATAAACAAACTAGAAGTTTTCCTATGGGAACGTAGGGAACTCCCCCCTAAACCCGAAACCAGGGAACGAAGGGAACTCCCCCCTAAACCCGAAACCCCTAGCCCCGCCCCCCCCCCCCCCCCCCCCCCAAAAAAAAAAAGAGGGCCAAAAAACAAAAAATAAAAGGGTCAAAAAGAAATCTCCACCCCGAGAACGGTGACAAAGTGCAAACACCATGATCGCGTGCTCTACCATCACCAGCAACATGGTGGGGTCATCATCGTCATCCTCGCTATCACCTGGACCTGAGACGCGCCGTGGTTAATCGGGTTGACTGCATTTGGGGCGCGTGGGAACGTCTTCCCTGCATTTGGGGCGCGTGGGCGTTTCAGCAGCTAAAGGGTCGAAAAAGTTGTACAAGTTCCAGAAGTTCTAACAGTTCTAAAAGTTCTAGAAGTTCTAGAGAAGTTCTACAAGTTCTAACAGTTCTAGAAGTTCTAAAAGTTCTAAAAATTCTAAAAATTCCAAAAGGGTTCAAACTGCGGAACTTTTAGAACTTTTCGAACTTTTAGAATTTTTGGAATTTTTAGAACTTTCAGAACTTTTAGAACTTTTATAATTTTAAACCTTTCAAACTCTAAAGGTTCCAAAGGATCTACAGGTTCTAAAAGTTCTAAAAATACCAAAAGTTCCAAACGTTCTAAAAGTTCGAAAAGTTCTAAAAGTTCGAAAAGTTCCAAAAGGTCTGAAAGTTCTAAGAGTTCTAAAAGTTCGAAAAGTTCTACAAGTTCCACAAGTTCTAAAAGTTATAAAAGTTCTCAAATTGTAAAACATCTAGAAGTTCTAAAAGTTCGAAAAGTTCTAAAAGCTGTAAAAGTTCTAGTAACCTTCACCCGGTTGTAAAAGTTCTTGAAGTTCTAAAAGTTCTGAAAGTTCTAAAAGTTCTAAAAGTTCCAAAAGTTCTAAACGTTCTCAAAGTTCTAAAAGTTCTGGAAGTTCTATAAGTTCTAAAAGTTCTAAAAGTTCTAAAAATTCCAGAAGGGTTCAAACTGCGGAACCATACACAGACATCATCAGAGCAAACACCTTTCAGGAAGCAAGGCTGCACCAAACACGCCCGAAGCCCCCCCACATATATCTACAGACATACAATACATATTTCATGTCGATGTATGTATATAACTATGTAAATATATACACACACCTGTATATGTACACCTATGTGTGTGTATGTCCAGATATATATGTAGTGATATGTACATGTATGTGTTTGTGTCTTTTTTGCTTACGTATATTTGTATTGCAAGTGTGTGTATGTATGTATGTATGTATATCTATACATACATACATAAATACATACATACATACATGCACATATGTGTATGTATACAAAGTTCTAAAAGTTCGAAAACTTCGAAAAGTTCGAAAACTTCGAAAACTTCGAAAAGTTCGAAAAGTTTCCAAAGTTCTAAAAGTTCTAGAAGTTCTTAAAGTTCTAGAAGTTCTAAAAGTTTTAAAAATTCCAGAAGGGTTCAAACTGCGGAACCATACACAGACATCATCAGAGCAAACACCTTTCAGGAAGCAAGGCTGCACCAAACACGCCCGAAGCCCCCCACATATATCTACAGACATACAATACATATTTCCCACATATATTTACAGACATACAATACATATTTCATGTCGATGTATGTATATATCTATGTAAATGTATACACACACCTGTATATATACACATATGTGTGTGTATGTCCAGATATATATGTAGTGATATGTACATGTATGTGTTTGTGTTTTTTGTTTATGTATAATTATACTGTAAGTGTTTTTATGTGTACATGTATGTATATCTATACATACATACATACATGCACATATGTGTATGTATACAAAGTTCTAAAAGTTCCAAAGGTTCTAAAAGTTCGAAAAGTTCTAAAAGTTCCAAAAGTTCTAAAAGTTCTAAAAGTTCTAAAAAGTTCTAGAAGTTCTAAAAGTTCTAAAAGTTCATAAAAGTTCTAAAAGTTGTAAACGTTCTAGAAGTTCTTAAAGTTCTAGAAGTTCTAAAAGTTTTAAAATTTCTAGAAGTTCTAGAAGTTCTAAAAGTTCTGAAAGTTCTAGAAGTTCTAAAAGTTCTAGAAGTTCTAAAAGTTCTAAAAGTGCGCCAAAATTCCCACGCACCCCAAACGCAGCGGAGACATCGCGGTTAATCTTGCTTGGTGAACTCCGCAGTGGTAAAGACCTTGAATCCCGGCCCGATGCGGTTCCTGTCACAAACCTTCGTGTTCATGCACGCTGCGCATGCCAGAGCCTCGTTATTGCTGTGTTACGATCATTCGCGCGCTCCGAGTCGTTCACCGTTCGCTGTACACATAGACTGAAGCTGGAGTGCTGATCACCCTGAGCCCCTAAACCCTAAAGCGTGAACCCTGAACCCTGAGCACGACTCCGAGGACGTGCACCCGCCTGCCGCACCCTTGCGCGCTTACCGCTTTACTTCTGCCGGCGGCCGCGCTGCAGAGGTGCATTTGGCATTCAGGGCTGCCGGGAACGCTGCTGCTGCGATGAGAGAAGCGGCATCTTATTGAGGGTAGCTATGATGTCGGCGCTAAAAGTAATGCTACTCGTTAGATGACAAGACAGGCAAGAAAAATGGCCTTTCTCAGGGCCACCCTGAAATGAGGTGGTTCGATAAACTCCCACTCTCCCACAGACCCCAAACCCTGAAGATGCCTCAACCGGAAAGCCCTAAACGCCAGAACCCACTGTAAACCCTAACCCATTGAATAGGGTTTCGGAATTAGGGGTTTTGGGTTTAGTGTCTGGGAAGCAGCTTCCTCCCCCGCCCTCTACCCCCAAACAGGTAGTCGATGGTCTTCCGCGCGGCTGCATCTTCAAAGTGGGATTCAACCCCAGCGACCCAAACCCTTACAGCGGCTTGGAGGAGACTTTGGTAAGCCACGAAGTCTGTTATTAGTATATATTTTCCCTTATTGAGGTTAATAAATAGGACCCTATTTACGATGTTTTTCAGAGGCTTTAAAGGGCCAACCTAGTGTTCAATACTTCAGCAAGAATGACGGTTGTGACTTCAGAACCGTCGTGAGAGTGATACAGACGGACTTGACCCGAATTGGTTGAGATCAACTGAGCTGGTAGTAGTAGGCCCGTAGGCCACGGCATGACGTCTGAATTCGAAGGGAAGACTCTGGGCACGAACCTTGGTGCCCAAAGACCTTACACCTAAAGCCTAGCATGCCCAACATACGGCGAGCACTGCAAGGTCAGAAGGTGATTGTTATGGACGAAGGCCACCATCTCACCCGTCCGAACAAGATGCTCCTCTGAAGTGGAAGTCTTTTTCTCATAATAAATATGATAGGGTGTAGGGTTTAGGGTGGGTTTGGGGTTTAGGGTCTAGTCCTCTGAACCTCTTTGGAGGACGTTGTGGTTTGTTGTAGGTGCTTGGGCGTTTTGGTTTCCTATCTTATCTAGTCAAGAGCGTACTGATCGGTGCACGACCAAACAAGAATAGATCTCGATGGTCGCCGCTGCAACGTAGCTGAGGATCTACGAGCAGCAGCTGAACCAGTTGCGCGAGTACGTCCAGAAGGCGAAGGGCCCTTCCTCAGCACTACGTGTTGGCCGCATTGTTTGGGTCTTTGTCTACCGTAAAACTCCTGTGAACTACAGTCGTGGCCCAACCTCTTAGCATCATACCCCGACCATGTTCTCAAAGCCCGACAGACACGACAACATGCTACCATGTGCCAGTACGTTGACGACCGCATGACCCGTACGAGCAGGGGCCCTACACCCTTACACTATGAACACCTTTATTAATCTATATGCTTTATGAAGCTTAAACTCGTTTCTTCTTCTTTAAGGTATGTAGAGCTGAGCCTCTCTGATTCGGCCCGCCCCCTCACCCACAAAGACAGCTCCAAGGTCGAACCTAATCCGTGATTTGCTAGAAGGGGAGAGTGAAGCACCGGATGTTACAACCGGTGTCATTGTCGTTGATTTGGAACTTACTAGGTTGGATTTTGGGACATTTTGTATTTTCCTGATTGGGTTTATAAGGAACCCTATATATAAATACTTTTCAGGGTGTTTAAAGGCCAACCCAGTTTAGGGTATCGGTTTCATGACTTAGGCTTTAGGGTTATCCTTTCATTGCGTCTTCTCCCCTCAAACCGACAGCCGGTTCCTCTCGATTTCAAAGCCCAACAACACATTAGCCGTAGGGCTTGAACTCCCCCTAAACACGAACCCGCGGTTTCACCCAGAGACTCCAATATCCCTTAATTAAGGAATATGCCTTAAATTATAGTAGGATCCTTAATATGTTTTAAGGTATGTTCCTTAATTAAGGGATATTGGAGTCTCTGGGCATGAACTTTACAGCCTAAACCCTCGACCCCGAAACAGCAAACCCCGAAACCCTGAACCCGAAACAGCTCTAAGCATCCAAAACCCCTATACCCCAAACCGCCCCCCCCGACCCACAAAGAAACATACAAACCCTAAGCCACTAAACACTAAACCAAAAAAAGCCCCAACCCCTAAACCCAAAACAGCCTTTTAAGGCTCCGTCTTCGTCAGCTGCACCGGGTCCATGGAGGCCGATGCTGCAACGGACCCGAGGATGCTCCTGGACGTTGTGAGCCTCGGCTCATGGGTGTACTGTAGGGGTTTGGGGGTGTTTGATGGGTTTTAGGGTTTTAGGGTTTCGGGAATGAGAGTTTAGGGTTGAGGTGTTTAGGGATTTAATTTAACGTTTAAAGCTCGGGGGCTTAAGGTTTGAAGAGAAGCTGTTGGCTTTTAGACGGGTGTTAGATGTGGTTGTGAGCGACGAGGACGGGGCTTGGGAACTTCAAGTCGGTTTTGCGGCAGTTTGAGGCCTTAGGGTCCAGGGTAGGGTTCAACGCAATGCAAGAGTCAGAGTAGCCGTGGGTTCCTACATCTCATTCGCATTGCATTTATGTGGTTCGGTCTTCCTGATACAGCCAAAAGGCTGCTGGATGGCAAAAATGCCACAGGTTCTGTCGAACATATGACAGGGAATGTTGTGCTTGCAAGTCGTAGCCCGTGTTAGTTCGACTTGCCATTGCTAGTCGCGGACCCAGCTACTTCTCGAGAATACCGATAGTCCCTGGAGAACCGGCCATCTACAACGAGAACACGGATGTGCATCAGAATCTGGCACCGAAGATGTTTAAAGACTTTGTTGAAATCGACGGAGAAGCATATGATGCCTGTGTTCAAGAGTCAAGAACACTGAGGAGCGTCCGGCTGAGACCAGATGCAGTAGCAGTCTTGAACTAACACATCAGGAGAATGTGCCCCTGACGGCCCCCGAAGCCTTTAACCCTAAATCCGATTCAACAAAAGAGAGAAAACCGTAGAACCGCAACCCGAGCAGGAAAGGTGACTGCAACAAGCACCTGACCGATGAGGGCTTCCTATCTTCCCACCACAAGCGTGGGCAATCCTTCCCTCGACAAAGCCCTGCGCCATGTGCTGCCTTGCCTGCACGCAGAGCTTGTGTTGGTTGCTTGCTGCATGGTCTCAGTACAGTATAGTATAGTACAGACTATTATGTCATAGTATAATAGCGTATATTTTTATAGTATGGCGCAGTAATTTGCGTTTCAATGTTTCTACCGCCGCATTGAGGCAGATGGAATCTACTCGGAGGAGGTGCAGAAGGCTGTGGTGACAGAAGTGGAGCTTTCCGGAATCTCGTTGGTCCGGCAACTTGTCACAAGTCCACTTGGAGGGCCGGCAGACTTAGCAGGATTCCTTACACGGCTCCTTAAAGGTATCGATAAGGGGATTTTATAATGGAGGTATGGGACTCAATGAGTCGGCAGTAAGTAGCGTTGTGAGTGCCCTAAGTGGCATTCTAATTGGGGCTATGGCACTTGTAAGTTTTGGTCTAAACCCTAAACCCTAAACCTACTTACTGAGTCCACCGACCCGCAACTGAGAGAGAGGGAGCACGGCCGTAACTCGGAGCCCACTACTGGGGATAGTGCCAGCGAAACACTGAGAAAGCAGCCACATGCATCTACTCTAGGGGCCAAATACTTACCAATAATATTCTGGGTGTCATGATTATAAGTATGGTATAATATACCCTAAAGCCCTATTCTGATTGTTAAGGCCCCCACAGTGCACAACCCTAAGGGTGACCCTTAACGGAATCCGGTCAAGAAACCCTCGAAACCCTGTTCTAAATATCAAGGCCTCGATAATATTTCTGTGCTAGCTGTCAGCCTCAAGATTTGGTGAAGACCCGAGTTCTGATCTTCCTAGTCGCTCAGCCGTGCTTGCTACTTGAGTATCTTACCTGTGGTAATAGATTCGGAAAGGTTACCCAAACGGGGCTTAGGGTTTTAGAGTTTGGGGTTTGTCTTAATAGTGTCGGAAAGATAAGCTTGTTGGGCATTGTAATCGCTCGTATATCGGTTGGAGTTCAGGGTTTTCTTAGTGGTAGAGTCGGAAAGATAAGCTTTTTGTGGCATTGTAACCGCTCATACATCGTGCGTATCTTCGTGTAAGCGTGCACATAGGCATGCATGTAAGTAAATGCCTGACGCACACACGATGCCCTACTTCTAGGCTTGCAGCGATTCTCAGACTCGGTGGCCAAGGTATGTCTATCAGGCCATCCGCCTCGAGCATGAAGGCAAACCGGAGGACGAGAATTTGATGCTGGCATCGTACCGGTTAAGCTGTTCAAGCTTACTCAGAGACTCACGGCCCTTAGATCTAACATAGGCACCCGAAGAATTGGTTTCTTGCTCCTACGGGTTCCCGAATGCGTGTAAAGCGTAACCTAGTCTAACCATTAACCGTTCAGTCCGCTAGATCTGCCCTGGCAATTTGGCTTTGAGGGTTTACACAACCAAGACCGTTATCACCTTGAGTGCAACAAGAACACCGTGCAAGTCGAAGCAATACCGCACGATTGGTTGTATCGCAGTCATGTATATGACCGGATCACCGGTACAGGCTTACAAGGAAATTTTTTATGTGGACCATCGCCCTTTTAAGCCGACTCTGGGGAGTTCTGTGAGGACAGCCTAGCGAACTACACCAACATGTACGTCTTTGCCAACTCTTCCGGAAATGCGAGCTGCAAGGAAGGGCGCAAGGTTCTCCGGTTGGGGCTCCGAGCTTCGATCTCTGGGTTTCATGAACCGTGAACAACCTCCGGTTGATGATGTAAATCCTGCTTTACCTTCGGAACCTAAACTATGGAATTATGGTATGTTCCTGATTATGTGTAATGCAAGATTTATATCATCAACCGTAGTTTTCTCGGGCTCCGTATGATGCTTGCAGGCACACCTGAAGACGAACTCTGAGGGTGAGGGTTTAGGGTTTAGGATGATTTGCGGGGCTTTTGTCATGCTTGGCATGAATTAAAGTGGAGGCTCGCGATGCAGGAGCCTCACATGATTCCTTAAACGGAGCTTGGCATTGCAATAGTACAGAAAAGCACTAGTTCGCTTTTGTGGATTTGCAGTTCGGCCCCTTTGAACCTCTGTTTGCAACAACAATATGAGTCCTGCAACCAGATGAGACTCAGACAGCTTCCTGAAGGCCCGAAGTCAGGTTGTGCTGGTCACCCTTCTAGTCCTTTCCTAGGCCATCCGACTTGATTGCTGTTGAGCCATGATACACAGCATTTTCTGCGAGGTGCCTCGCATGTCTTGCTTGTTCATGGCTCGAGGCCCCCACCATACACCCTAGTGGCCCAAGTAGAATATGACTGAGTAATATAGAATACAGTATAGACTTGATTAAAAAGGAATATAACCGAATGAAACACAATACAAGATGAGCCAGAACGCACTTCGCTGCCACGTGTTGAACATTGCTGCACGAAGGAGACGCTGCTGACTGACCCCAGCAGCCGCCCAAAGTTCACAGCAGCGCTGCGGGCAGTGGTGGAAGCTGCGAAGAAGAAGCAGAAGAGCCACCCGTCACAACAGCGTGCTTGTTGAGTCAGGGTCGCGACTTCAAACAAATAGTGTGCTGACAAACCTTTGCCCGGAGGGGCAAACAACTCTCAATGTAGGAATATGCTATTGAATAGACCTTGAATCGGAACAAGAAGCTCCATACAATGAAAGCTGTATTCCTGAAATTAGCGTACACGCAATCCTGCAACATAAACCCTTAACCCTTAAACTGAACCCCTGAACCCTAAACCCCTAAACCATCCTAAACCATGAACCCTAAACCATCCAGCCATGGGACAGCCTGAGCTTGAAAGCCCTCTGTGCAACAGAGGCCAAGCAGAGTAGTGGGTAGGCCTTTGGGTTACTTGAATATTTTCGTCATTGGGTTTGTAAGGACCCTATGTATACTAACATTTTTCAAAGGGCGCGAAAGGCCCCAGAGTAGTAAGTTGGTACGGCAAGGCTTGAACCCTGCACTTTAACCCGCGCAAAAAGTTAGCCTGAATTTAAAAAGGCTTCAACCCGAAGCCGTAAGCCCTACGCCCTAAAACCTAAACCCTAAGCCTAAGCTTTAAAGAGTAAGACTCCAAAAGGTGTAGAGCACAGCCGAGACCTCCCAAGAAACGTCTTCCCGACAGAGAGTTTAGGATTTAGGGGTCTCTTTGGTCGACAAGCCTTGGAAGACGAGAACCCAAAACCCTAAACCCAAAACCCTAAACCCTAAACCCTAAGGCTTCTAGGTTTGGGCAGGCAGGCTTTGGGTTCGGATGTTTTGGAATTGTGGGTTTGGGTTTAGGGGTTTAAGGCTTCTGGCCTTCAGGTTTAGGGTTTAGGGCGAGGCATGATATTAGCCAGCGCAGTGCTGTCGGTAGTAAGACAAATTATGGACAGCTCGTGCTCATAGCCACAGTCAAAGAGTAAGAACACTTATATCCTAGAAATCAGCAATGGTACTCGACGGTACACAATGTCCCTAAACCCTGACCCTAAACCTTATCCCTAAACCCTAATTTCTAGAACCCTAGTCCCCTAAACCCTAAAACCCTAAACCCCAAATCCTTAAATCCTAAATCCCTAAACCCTAAGTAACCCTAAAGCCTGACTAAGCCTAAGACTCTAAGCCATGATAATGGGACTTAGTAAGTATGGTTATAAGTACCTTAAGTGGGGCTATAAGTACTTGTAGGTATAGTTACCTTCTTTACAACCCTAGTTACTAAGCCCCATGATCCTTTAAGTTTATGAGTAATTGTAGGTATAGTTACTCCTAGTTACTAAGTCCCATGATCCTTTAAGTTTATGAGTAATTGTAGGTATAGTTACTCCTAGTTACTAAGTCCCATGATCCTTTAAGTAAGACTTTAAGGCATGATCATGGTGGAGCGCCGCAACGGCTACAGAGCCTTGCTCGCTTTGCTGGAGGCCCGGCAGTAGGGGCCGCAAGTGGACTAGGGTTAAAGGAGGGACCCTGAAGAAGGACCCCTAGATATACCCTTAATAGCCCATTATAGGGTAGGGGTCCCCATTAAGGGTCCCTCCTTTTCCCCTTAGAAATTAGAATAGGGTTATATCGGGTTCCGAGGGCTCCTTTAAAGGGAACCCCACTATAGAACCCTCTGGTACCCTTAAAGGGAACCCACTATAGAACCTTATGGTACCCTTTTAAGGTTTTGCCTCGCTTTGCTGGAGGCCCGCCAGGTTTTGCTGCGCTGTTGCAATCGTCCTTCCCAGAAACTCCAAGAGTTCTCAAGAAAGAGTTTCAAAGTATGGGGTCTCTTAAACCCTAAACCCCTCAACCCTAAACCTAGGATTAGACCCTAAACGCCTAAACCCTATACCCGGATTAAGCCCGAAACCCCTTATAGAACCCTTATAGATCCCTAAGGAATCCTCTTGGATCCCGCCAAAGGAACCCAAAGCCCTTAAGCCTCGCATGGCGACTCTGAGGGGATGGAAGTCCGCAGGGTTCAGGGTTTAGGGATTCCAGTGTTTAGGGTTTAAGGGTTTAGGGGTTTGGAAATTTCGGGCTTAGCGTCGAGGGCAACATGGAAAACCCTCCTTCATCCAAAACCCAAAGATTCTAGACCACAGCAAGAAGGCCCGAAACGCCCAACAGTCCTGAACCCTGAAACTGAACCCTTAAAGATCCTCTTCATAGGAGGCCAAAAGGGGTGTTAGCCTATGGGGGTTTAGTATGAATTAGGGTTCCCACGAATACAATTCATATTAAGTAATCCCTAGCCCAAGAATCTTAAACCCCCCTTTTGGCCTCCCAGCATCTCTTGTACAGTCCTCAAAGCGTGCTCTAAACCTCTGTTGAGAAGGCCGAAGCAGAGAAGCACAATTTCAACGTGGCAGAGTACGATCAGCTGGCAGATTTCAACAGCCGCGAGAACTTGACAGGCCAACGTTTCATGGTCATGAGCCTCGTCAGAGTGCTGTAGCAGCAGGGCTTTGGGTTCAGATGTTTAGAGTCTAGGGGTTCAGAGATGAAGGGTAAGAGTTGAGGGCTGAGATTCAGGCTTAGGAGTGTGTGGATGAGGGATGAGCCTACTTAAAGGATCATGGGACTTAGTAACTGGGGATATAATTAGGGTAACTGTACTTATAACCCCCACTTAAGGTACTTAAAACCTCACTTACTAAGTCCCATGATCCTCCAAGTAGGGTGCTAGGGTGGAGGCTGCAGAGCTTGGGGATGGTGGATGACCCGCCTTAAGCTTCGGATTTCTTGCGGTTTTCTGGGTTTGAGGGCCCAGGTCTAGGGAGAATGACCGTAATTCTTTGGGTGGTCATGTCCATGACGTTTTCAAACCACCTAAAGCCCAAAACCGTAAAAGACAAACCGCCACTGTGTACGAAGCCGTGGCGGTTAGCAGCACGGCATGATGTCAGATGTAACAAAACGCTCCACCGTCCACGGCAAGGCAGGAGGAGGCTTCCAGGTGGTCAGGTTTTAGGCGAAGACCTACGGCTGGCGGTCAACAAATTTATGGAAAATTTGTGGTACCTTATGTTGGGGTTTTTTAATCAGGATCCTACTATTTTGGGTACTATACTAGGGTCCCCTATTTTCGGAAATGTCTCCCTTCAAAGGGGGCTACTGTCTGAGTGATGGTGCCGGTCTCACCACAACTGCTTACTACCTACCACCGCCATTAAACCCTAAAGCCTGAACCCTGAACCTCAAAGCCCCAGAACACGCGGAGCCTCGTTGCCTAGTATCAAACCAGCCTTCACTTCTGAAGAGGGACCATAAGACCCTTATTAATACTCCTACTACTACTACTACTACCACCACCACCACGACTACTACTACTACTACTACTACTACTACTACTACTACTACTACTACTACTACTACTACTAGTACTACTACTACTACTACTACTACTACTACTACTACTTGCACCATTCGTACTGTTAGCCATTCGTTTCATGTTTATTGCGAAGATTGCTACAAGCACTGTGATTCTGATATTAAGGCCTCCGCAAAGAAGAGGGGAGAAGCACTGCCTAGGGGTCTACTGAGGTCGCCCAGCAGACCCCTATACCCCCTTCTCTTTCACGGGTCTCCCTACTACTAACGTTTTGTAGTATAAAAAAAAGCTGGTACCCTGAGAGGAATGGCGAGGAACTTCCAAAACCAGGAAGGTGCGCTATAGTCTCTATATAAGCACGCTTTGGTAAATCCCTGAGAACATGTTTAAAGAGTAAGGTCCGTATACCCTTAGGAACCCCTTTTTTTTAGGAGTTGAGTTTCCCAGAACATCAAAAAGGGAGCCCACTAAGAGGATCCCAAAACCCTTCCAACTCCTGATGAAAGAAACCTACAAAATAAGCTAGGTTCCTGAGTAGTACCCTTTTGCCCTTTGTATTTTCGGGTCCCCGTATTTCCAACCGAATAGTAGGAAAACAGTAACCTTCTTATGAGGGTCGTAGCCTCTAAACCCTAAATCCTTGGAGTACCCTTATAGATCCCTTTAAAAGAGCCCTATAGTCCCGTTCTTTATATAGTACCCTTATAGATCCCGTTAAAGGAACCCTTTGACCCCTTTCTAAAGGAAGCTCTCGATTTCTGGAGCCGAGGATCCTAGAGACTGAGAAGGGCGGCGAGGGCATCGAACTCAGGGCCGTCCGCTTGGCCGTCTTTTTGGACGTCCCGAAGCGCTTTCCCGACTACAAGCGGCGAGCTGAGAAGTTTTTTCTTCAGGAGTTTCGGAGTTAGGGCTTGGGAGTTAAGCTGTCAGGGAACTCAAGTTGAAACTTTTTCAGGTTCAAGGTTGAGCTTTCAGGATATGCCACGACTCAAGGCCCATCAAGCCTCGAGCTTTGGACTTGAACCCTGATCCCTTAGTCATACGTATAGTATAGCAAATCCCAGAATCCTGGTCTCACTCTGCATGCTTCTGTCTTAACCGGTCTCAAATCCTGGCCCTAAACCCTAAACTTTAGCCTTTGTCATAGTTGGGTACCATTTTACATGTTTATGGGTACCTAAACTAGAACCTAAACCTAATAAGGAACAAAAAATTTGATTTTTAATCCTATCCCAACCCTAAACCCGAAACCCTAAACCTAAACCATGAGCTAGAAACCCCTGGAGCTCAGGCAGCGCTGTGGGAGGGTCGTCCGCTGTGGGAGCCACGACGGCCTCTCGGAAGTTGACCGAGAAGTCCGCTTCATGCACCTTGGCTTTGGGAAAGGCTTTCTTGCCTCTATATGTATGTATGTATATATATATATATAGAGAGAGAGAGAGAGAGAGTTCAGGGAAGTTTTGGGTTTAGGGGCCGTCTTGCCTCCATATAATGGGTAACTATGTAAGTGTTACCATACTCGAAACGGCTATGGGGCTTACATGGCGTCCAAAGACAGTCACTATGATACGTAGGTAGTTGCGCTTCTGGGGAGTGGTGGGGGTCATTTAAACTCAACCTCGTGGAGTTGAGGGTTTCGGGTCCACAGCGGGTGGAACTTTGGACATAACCCCTAAATCCCAAACCCCCAAAGCCCTGAACCCTAAACCGCTGCGTTCAGTCGAAGGTTCGTAGACAGAGCTGCCCAATCGAGTTGAATACGCCGGAAGGCTTTCAAGTGGGTGCGCTTGTAAGATCGCGGGACCTGGCGGGAGTCATAATTGGTCGAATCACGATATGACGCTGAACAACAAAGACCTAGTGCTGATGGACAGAATCCTGCACTACCCATTATAAGGAAATATACCATAGTGGCCATAGTTTAGGGTCCTTAAGGTAATGCAGGATTTATACCAACAACAGTAGCAAGCCTTGAGAGGTTCTTTACGGCGGTCTTCCCGGGCTTCGCGCGGTCAGAGCTGGGTGCCTTTGCGCTGTTTGCCCTTTGTGGCTACTGGAACGGCCCGAAGAAGACCGGGTGTTGGGAAACAGCCCCTAAACCCCAAACCCTAAACCCCTAAACCCCTAAACCCTAAATCAGGGGGTTCATCAGCTTGGGGCGCCTGGGTTTCAGGGCGATCGGGTTGGCGGGTTGGTTGGCCGATGTTGTCAGGGTTCAGGCCTTAGGGCCTTAGCGGTTAGGGTTTGAGTATTTGTAGCTGGGAACAGCAGAAAAAGAAGAAGAGCCGTGAGTGTGTTTTTTCAGTGGTTTCGTGGCCGGCATTTTTCTGACTGCTGTTTAGTTCACGGCATATAACAGCCGAACGAGGGTTGAGGTTAAGGCTACTTGTTTGATCATGCAGCTTGTGCCACGGCCAGACTATCTCACGTGTCTGTTGCCAAATGTTTCTCTTTGCCGGTGGAAGCAAAAGTGTGCAACCATTTGCCCAACAGCCGTTGGCAATGCACAATAGCTTAGTTCGCACCGATGCTACAAGCCTTCCTCTAGCTACGGAGCAGTGGTAATCTGGCGGTGCCACTGTTGCTCTTGTCATTCCTATTGTCGTTTCGACAGTGGCTGCTGTTTGCAGTGGATGCTTGTGTCTCTACAACTGCTGCTACAAGTGTCACTTTTTTGGTGATCGCTTGGAATGCCCTACTTAGAGGATCATGACACCTAGTAAGTAGGTTGTAATTGGTGTTATAAGTCCCCTAAGCGGGGTTATCCTAGTCATAACCTACTTATAACCTTACTTACTAAGCCCCGTGCCCCTCCAAGTACCCTAAACTCAAAGCCGAGTTCAGGCTCATCCTGGTAGAGGGTTTTCATGCTCGTAACCGCAGTGAGAAACAACACAAAACATCAGCCGGAGCCAAATGGCGTTTTACATAATAAGGAGAGTTGGAATCAATAACATTAACGATAACACTAGTACTCATGACCCTGATTCTTAAACCCTAAACGATTGTACTAAAACAGTATTAGTCGATATATGATCACATCGCATGCCATCGCCAAGACCGGCTCACACTGTCTATCCCTGCACCTGCTAGGCTAAAGCCCTCGAAGCACTATGGCTAATGTCCCAAAGACCTAAGCCCTTAAAGCCTTTAAGCCCACATGAACCATGAGTTTGAGGACTATGTTCGTTGCGCAAAGGACGTCAAGACTTGTTGGGGTTCTTAGTAGGGAGTGGGGTAATGGAACCCTATGAAAGTCCCTAAAGGTCCTTTGTAGTAGACCTCCTAACTGCCTATAACCCATTCGCCCATTCCCTGCCTAAGAACCAGGGAGAGAACCGTTGATGATATACATCCAGCATTACCTTAATGACCCTAGACTATGGGAGTTATGGTAAGTTCCTTATTATGGGTAACGCGGATTTATATCCCTAAACCTGAAACCCCTTTTGGATCCCTTAAAGGAGCCCCCTTCAAGGTCCCCTTATAGCTCCCTTTAAAGGAACCCCAGGATTTATATCATCAACCGAAGCAAGTTCGCAGGATCACCTACGCCTCCGAGCCTGCGCCGGAGCAGCTGATCGAGGCGGCCCAAGGCTTCCCGACCTCGGGGCTTCTGGTCCGCTGTACTCTACTATGCCATCCTAGGATGCCCAGTAGTACCCTTATTCCCTTTTTGTAGTCCTAGGTTCCTTATAAAGTTACCCAATACCAAAAAGAGAGGCCTTTTTATTCTTAGGTTACTGGGTATCCTAGCCATACTATATGACTAACTGACTGTACTATGCCATATTATACTATACTTTACGATTTTGGGCTCGGGCACTGAGGTTAGGTTTTCATTTCGGGATTTTGGATCTGCTTTTGGGTTCAAGTGTAGGTTTTGTTTTTTAGGGTTGCGATTAGTTTAGGGCGGGGTTTTAGGTCCACTTGCGGGCTTATGGTCTAGGCTTGGGACTTTTTGGTCCATTCGGGGAGTTTTGTGTGTGCGCCACTTCATGTCCAAGGTTGCGACTGTTGAACAAGCCGCCCAGGGTCCCAGATGCACTTTCCTGCTAGCCCCGCTTTGGACACTAAGCTAGCCCCGCAGCACCACAGCATTCTGCAGAAACCATCTCCGGAGGCTTCGTTCGGACAGCCGCAGCAAAAGGCATCAGCAATCTCCGTGGCCTGGAACAGGCCTGGTTTGTCCACTCGAAGTTGTTCAGCATGTACGAACTTTTTAGGTGTTTCGTGCGCTTCAACCTTGACGAGTCTGTATATGTGTTTGCGGGTATCGAGTGCCGAGACGAAAATCTGCTTCTTCCCATGATAGGCCTTGAGACATCGTGTTGGTGAAGCCGATTTGCTGGATGCCACTCGGCGCGCACGCGTCATTAGTCGTGCTGCTGCCTGCTTGGCATTCAGCGTGTGTGTGGTTTCAAGCGCTGTTGTTTTTGTGGGACGTGAGTGTCTTATCCCTTGTTCGTGACGACAACCATGGCAGCAACAGCAACAAGAAAAGCAACAGCATCATCATTATCACCGACATCCTCATTACCGTAAATCCGAAACACTGACTCCTAAATCCGCCGTCGAACTGAGGAGGAGCTCCCTCCGAAACTCTACCATCGCCTCTTTGGCGGACTCGGAGCTGTCAAGGCCAAGGGTGCCAGCAGCGTGCCTTGGCCAAAACCTCCTGGTGGTTGATGCTTTTGACTAGGATGCCCAGTAGTACCCTTATTCTCTTTTTGTAGTCCTAGGTTCCTTATAAAGTTACCTAATACCAAAAAGGGAGCCCTTTTTATGGCTAGGTTACTGGGTTGTCGGCAAAGCATACGGGACGAGGGGGCATCCTTTCGGGCCGTTTAGGGATCAAGGATCTGGTCCCGAGTGGTGTTGGGTTTTGTCCGGGTCCCTACCCTGCCCGGATCAGCTCAAAAATGTTCTAATCACGTGAGGAGTTTTGGAAAAGTTGCTCAGTGCCGAAAGCTCCATAAAGATAGAAGGAAAGTTTTGAATTTAGATAAATACGACTGACGCTTTTCTATTAAGCGAATGCTGCGGTCGAAAAGCTATTAACAAAGCATGCGCAACCTGACCGCCCAACATACAACTTCTGTGCTTGTCGGGTTCGGGCTTGTAGAGTGCAGGGTGGGTTTGCGGGTATGAATATGGTCAAAACGTCTGAATTGCAGGGCGAGTGGGTTTCAGAAAGACTTCCGGGGCGAGCAGCGTGTAGACAATTGTAGAGCTGAGAGTCTTGCCTAGTAGTAGATATCCTCTTCGCCTTGTAATGGCTATATAATCCCACAACTTAGCCTTTCGTTACTTTAGTTCCCCTAGGATATTGGGCAACCAGGCTTAGAAGGTATTGCAAGGCGAGTCGGGTTGTAGCTTTTAGGAAGGTCAAGAACGGAGAGTTGTTTTGGCGATTACTCGAAGCCTATGCCGGACTAGGGCGTGTACAGGGCATTCCAATCTACAGATTCCTTGAGTGGTCAGGGATTTCAGTTCTTGCAGCCTAGGCTTTTCAGAAGTATCCCTAAACCGTAACCCCTCAAGAATGAAATCAATAGAACTTGCGTGTCTTTGTTGGCCAGTCCAGTCAGCCCACTCCAGCCTTAGCGATCCGTCTCGTAGAAGGGACCAGGGATTCTCCAAAGGCCCCAGAGGGTAGCACACCACAGACGCCACCGTGCGGACCCTGCTATGGAAGATGCTCGCACAACTTGCCGAGAACACACAAAAAAAGGAATTCAAGAGCCCCAACCAAACAGCACCAGAGCAAACAGAATACCCTGAACCCCTAAACCCCTAAACCCCAAACCCTAAACCCCTAAACCCCAAACCCTAAACCCCTAAACCCCAAACCCTAAACCCCTAAACCCCAAAACCTCTAAACCCGGCTCGTAGCCCGACTTCCGAGTCCGGATTGGTCAAAAGCTATCGGCACGAAAAAGCCCTTACCGATTTCTCCTCGCCCACGTGCCAAAAACCGGCCCAGGCCGGGCCCCTCCCCCCCCCCCCGGTTTAGGGGTTTAGGGGTTTAGGGTTTACTGCACGGTAAGCCAGGTGGAAAAGGACAATTTGCTCAAGACTTGCTGTCAAAATTTATCGGCACCCGGACTCCTAACAATTTCTGTAAACCCATGCCCATGTCGCACATTGGTGCAAAGGGTCCGGCGAGAGTCGCTCACCCCAAAGCCCTCAACCCAACTCCGTTTAGCTACGTACTCGGAGGGCGAACTCCATGTCTCAAGCTTACGCTCAGGGTTTAGGGGTTTGGGTGTTCTACGTCATGTTGAGGACCCCTCTATCAGAGCAGGCATGTTCCTTCATTACAGGGCTTTGATGTCTGAAAGAGCCCACTAACCGGTAACATACGCAGGAGATTGAAAGTGCGGTTTACAGGTGCTTCTTTTCAGCACTTCCTTGTTGAGTCCTCGTGTCATGCTGCAAACGACTGACACAATGATTAAACGGTTGGTGACTGTTGCTGAGGCAAACGTTGGTGATGCAAACGACGAACACAATCCGAACATGGCGGTTTGAATTGCCAATAGTATATCATGCTATTCTATTTTACTTTCTAATGTTATGTTATAATATGATATTGGGTTATACTATGGTCGGTATACTATATTACCTTATATATTCCTATTTACCATGCACCTGGCAATTCCAGGTCATCTCGAAGACGCCTTTGCAAACCTACGACCAGAAGCTGCAGCGGCAGCTCCGGTAAGCCAGGGCGTGCTTCTAGGGTTCGAGGTTGATATTTCGGTGGATATAGTACCCATTGTAGTACCCTTGTAGTAACCTTTATAGTAACTTTACAGTACCCGTATGGTAACCTTTCTAGTAACCTTATAGTAACCTTGTAGTACCCCTTTTCTACCCTTAAGGTATTTTCCGGGTATAGGGAATTGGAGCCCTGTCATAATTAACATAGCCTAGGGTCATGAAAGTAATGCAGGATTTATACCATTCACCGTAATGATGTCTCGAACATGACTCCCACACAACATTAAAATGCAGGGGTGTGGATTGAAGCCGCACATGTAGACGCACATGCATCGTGGAAATATCCGGAACTGACCAAAGACATGTACATGCATTTTGTGTACAGGAAGGCCGAAGGAGGAGTCGTGACAGAAGAAGGTGTAATAAACAACTATATAGAAATGACTGTAGATATGCACATAAATGCAGCACCAGACGTATGCGGAGTCCCAGATGCGTGGGGTCTTCGCAGGGATGTTTTGCCAGGGATTGATTCTTGGCGAGGCTGACAGCTTGGTACCCAGAGATCCCAATATCACTTAATTCAGGAATATACCTCAAAATATAGGGGCCTTAGTATGATGAGCTAAGCTAAATTCCTTAGTTAGGAGGTATTGGGATCTCTAGGTGAGCAGGCTTCAACTGGTGTCGTATTTTGTTCACAGGCAACTTGTTCGTTTGATACGGTTGATGATATAACTTCTGCATTACCCACAATAAGGAATATACCATAATTCTCATAGTTTAGGGTCCTTAAGGTAATGAAGGATTTATATCATCAACCGTACACCCCGCAGTTCCAAAGTTTGCAAAGTTTTGCCATCCGAAATCTTACCGGGGCTTAGCCCGAAACACAACATCTTCAGTCCCATGGCCCCGTCAATGAAGCTTGAAAGGACCCCCTGCGATATGTGAACTCTTGAAGGAACCGTGAACCCTTAGAGAGAGCCCGCGCACTAGATCCGTTTTCTGCCAGGCTTCAGTTTGAGGACATGGCGCCGGCACTTTCAAGGATTCGGGGCATTGCTCTGGATGTGGGCATGTACTGACACAAGTCCAAATGCTACGGCTGACCCATTCCTTTACGATACTCTCCGTATACTCCCTATAACTTGTTGGGCTCTAGGTGAAGTTCGCGCACAGCACCCGCAGTCTGCGGACTTTGGTTGAGAAGTTTTTTTGAAATTCTCAGAGGGCTTTGCAGGGAGGCCCTGCACTTTGCGATATACCAGTAGCCCTGAAGGAAGTTACAAGTCATAATCGGTATCTGCGTATAAGAACATCGCGGGTTTTTCACAACTTGGTGAAGCTGATTTCGGCATCCTTAAAGAAGGATCCTGTAACTTGGTGTTCTATACCCGAGCCCCTCATCTTCTGAGACTCTCATAATCTCATATGGAGCGTAAGGAGACTGAGTTTAAGGCTTCAGGTACAACGCTTTGATACGACGCACCAAGATGCACCTAAATCCCCAAACCCTAAACTGACTCTTTCTGAGCCACTCGAGCCTGCACTGCGCATAGCTTTATACATGTCTCGAAGCAGCTCGGTCTGCTTGGTCGTACTAAAAGGTTTATGGCTTAGGGCTCAGGTTCAGTTTTCGGGCTTGGCAAGGATTGGCAATAACTTACATAGCCCTTGTGGTTTTACATGGTCCTTGTCCAAGAAAGTGTCTCTTTTGGGGTTTCGTAAACTGGGGGTGCCGTATCAAGAGTACAGAGACCTTGTTCGAGAGAGTAAGGGTCCTAGAGGCTTCTGCCCAGAGATCCCAATATCCCTTAATTAAGGAATATACCTTAAATTATAGGGGCCTTGATATCATTATGGTTTAAGGTATATTCCCTAATTAAGGAATATACCTTAAACTATGAGATGGTTTAAGGTATATTCCCTAATTAAGGAATATACCTTAAATTATGAGGGCCTTAATATCATTATGGTTTAAGGTATATTCCCTAATTAAGGGATACTGGGATCTCTGGGTGATGCATCCTCGAGCCTTCGGGCTTAGGTTTCGACTGGCGTGTAGGGGGTTTGACATTCCGGGGCCTCCGCGACGCAGACAATCCATCCCGGGCACGACTCGCTCCGACTTGTGAGGTGAGTTTGCTTTTCTTCGGGTATCTGCAAACTCTGTTTCTACAGAGACCGGAAGGAGAAATCCTGGGATGGCATGATTTTGTGGGTCCAGCAAGGAGCAGACCCGAATCCAAGTACATTCGGGGGAACCCAAACCCGAAACAACTAAACTACATACTGGCTCGATGGCAATGAGGGCTGGTCTGCTCCTTGTTCCGAGTCTTATGCCGAAGAATGACGGCACATGGGGAGAAACCTGCTTTGGGGACGACCACAGAAGACCGCTGGCGCGCCCAGTAAAACCGCGCTTTGACAATCGATGCCGGGACATAAACCCTACCCTGAGGCTCCTGGACCCTCGTTGTGAGATCCCAAACCTTAGCCCCCAAAGCCCAAACCCTTCCCCCAGAAAGCCCATGACCCCTTTCGGAGCCTTCGGGTAAACCCTTAAAACACCGAAAATCCGCAAACCCGAAACCCCTACAGTCCTGAACCCTCAGCATGTTGAAGCAGGGATATCTTTCCCTTCGGATGCATTTATCAATATTTTCTTTGACCTAAATTTCAAACACCAACACTTCTGCTTGACCTGCCACCCAGCTTCAGGTTCTGATTAATATTCAGGGTCCGAAATGCTGATAGAGATGATTATTTATTTTGAATGATGAAATAGTGATCATAGAACGATTGTGAGAAAAATATGTGTATATATATATATATATATATCATTTTCTTCAACATTATCTATGGTGTCTTCATCCGGAGGTTTGGGGCAGGGCTCTGGCAGGTCCATGGGTTCCGGCAGGTTCTGTAATGGGTTCTCGCAATTTCGGGGACGGTTCCGCAATGGGTTCCTGCAGGTTCCGGGGCGGTTCCGCAACGGGCTTGTTTTCCGGGGCGGTTCCGGCTGGGAGGGTTCCGGGGAGGTTCCGGTTTCCGGCAGGTTTCCGGGGCGGTTAGGAGCGATGGAAGACGTGGTCCCATTCTCCGAGCAAGTTCTCGAAACTTCCGACTAATTCTAAACATATGTCACGAGGTCTGCGAAATAAATTTGCGTTGATATCGTGATAATATACTAGCATGGGAAGATTATAGATACGATGAAATTAAGGGACGGATTTATTATATATCGCGCGACATTTTTATGTATCGTATAGGATTCAAGCGAGTCTGTATGTTTTATAGCATCTGGTAAACTGGTTCTTCAACTACTGTCTAATTGGCGGATAGGAAGTATTATTATGAAGGTGAATAAGAATTTTAGTTCTACTTTCTCTATATGGTATGGAGAATGCTTACTTTTGATTTGTTGCTATTGATATATCTCTTGAATAAATATTTATGATAATGAGCGTCGATAGGAGGAATACTTGATTTTATTATTTTATTGGTATGGGATAGGAAGATTATAAGATATTTTCTTCTATTAATTGATCGAATAGGAAATACGATTATATTGATTGTTCGAGAATTAATTCTTTCTTCGACGTATTCATATATTATTTATATCGTTCATATAGAATCAAAAGAAAATGTATTCTAAGATATTTTTGAAAATTATTTGAGAAATCTCGAGGTTATGATATTTATTGATAAGTAAGTATGTCTAATTCGAGGATTATAAATAGAGTTTTTAGAGGAATTTGAAAAATTTTATATAAAATAGATAGATGAATTCTTATTTATTCTATCTAAGATTTGATAGCACGCTCTTGAGAGATAGACCAACTCGATTCTTGATTCATGATCTAGCGTAAATCTTTCATTACGCTATTATATGAGCTTACCTAATAAACGCTGGTGAGATATATGCTCGAGGCATCAAGCGCTTATGATTAACGAAAGATTATCGAATAATATATATTTTTGGCAAATATCACTCCAAAATTTCAATATATCGACCTTGGCGCAAGGCGCGTAAAAAGAAGCTCGTTGGGCGTGAATAAGATTCATATAAAGGAGTCGATAAGGATCACTAGAAGGAATCTATAAAGATATTATAATATAGAGATCTAGGATTTTGGGACTTATTAAGCTATTTCTATGAAAAGGAACCTCTAGAATTATGATAATTATTATTTAGGCCCCAATGGTGCTGTATGGTCGTTTGAGGGTCAGTTTTCTTCATAGTAACAGGGACACGAAATGATTTGAATATTTTGGTCTATTCTATTCTTGAT